GTAGTGTTGTTTTTGCTGATTACCCTCAGAAATAGCTCAAAAACGTCCAAGAAAAGTCCCCCCCTTTTTTTTAATGCTCAACAACTTTTCTGTCTGGATTTTCACTTTTTGAAATATAGTAACCCTACTTAATAAGCCTGACAATGGTTTGTTTGAATGCACCAACCCAGCTCAGGAGATTAACCAAACTTTCTTTTCTGCCAACCAAGCTCAGCGTGAAGCTATGGTTTGTTGCTTGATTACAAGTTATTGTTTGGCAACCTGGGGTTTGGTGTTATGCCTGAACCCAACAACCTTGCTTAACCATGTTCTGTTCGGCCACTTTTCTCCCTATGCTTATCATACCAAGTCCAGAATGTGTCCTGCAGCAGGGACAGGTCCAGAATTTGCTTGGGGCAGACTCATGGTTTTCATGGCAGACATCAAATCATGAGCCAATCCTGACAGGAGAGCCTCAGTGTGAATGTTAAAGTCCCCCACCACAACAAGCTAGGGGACTCTAGCACCAACCCCAAGACCACCCTAGCTAGCTCAGGAAGCGAGATTCTTGAGCAGTGGGGTATGTGGTGCACCAACAGGATCTGTACTTGTCCTGGGCATCTTCAGGTACACACACTCAAACTCAGCAGATTGCAGGAGAAGGTACCTGGTGAGGGGAATGCAATCATGTAGATCACTGCAATTCCACACCCCAGTCTATTTCCAGTCTATTTGAACAGGGGGAGAATATGGCAGCAACCACCACCATGTTGTACTGCCCCCTTTGATAAAGTATAGTTGTTACCCCACCCCTACATATCTCTCTTTGCCCTCTTTGCCCTTGCTCTTTTTCCACCAGTTCAGATTGATCACCCAGTTCAGCTGGGTGTAGACACGCAGCAGGTGTTGCTGTAAGCTTCTAAGTACTGCAAGAGCATTGTTAAGGAGGAAACAACAGCAGCAAATGCCCTGGAGTCCCACCTGGAAGGAATGAACAGCAGACAGGTGGTTCCTGTTCAGACATTCCTGGGTCCCCCCCCCCCCTTTCTCACACAGGGGAGCTGTGGCTTCCCAGTTCCAAGGAGGTGTTGAAAGAGGTAAGATATACTTTTGCCATTTGGAATGCAAGGCATCTTGCATTCTTATCAGCAAATTGTTTATTTTTATATAGCAGATGCTACTATACTAAGTGGAAGCAATTAAGGAAGGCTTCAACAGAGATAGAATTAATTTATTGAGAAGTAATTAATCTCACCCAGAAGATTCTTGCATAACCAATGCATTAATTTATATTGGAACTCCTAGAGCTGTTCGTCTCGGTACTGGGGGCCTGTGGATCAATGGGAATCCATCTGCAGCTTACAAAGGCAATAAGTGCATTGCTCCTTCAATCTATAATTGATGAGCAAAAGAAGGAGTAATCTTATTAAACTGTTAGACTTTACCTTGGAAGAGTTTGCATTGTTGATAAAGCTTGGGCAAAGTACCATTACACTGCGTAAGTGAGTCCTCCCAAGTGGAGAAGGTAACTTGTTAGTAAATAGATAGAGTTATAGAAGCACTGTGCGATAAAATGCCTACTTGTCTGACATTGCAGATTCCTCTGTTGGAGTCATTCAGTTAGGACACAATCTAGCCAAAGTTAAGCACTTGAAAGCCTCTTGGATTTCAAAGAAAGGTTCAACAGCTCTAACCATTTTAATTCAACAAAACCAAAATGATCAAGGAGGTGAAGCATCTCCCTTGTGAGTGCTTGGGGATTTTTAGTATAGAGAAAATGTGAGTAAGAGGTGATATGATAGAAGTTTATAATGTTATGCATGATGTGGAGAAGGTCCATGGAAAACAGCTTTTATCCCTCCCCACCAGTGGAAACCTAATGACTCTGAGTTGGAAGACTCTGAGTTGGAAGACTCTGGAGAGACAAAAGAATGGGCTTCTTCATGCAGTGCACCATAAAACTATGGAATTCACTCTCCCCAGGGGGCAATGTTGGCCATCAACTTGGATGGATATTTAAAAGAGGATTGGACAAGTTCATGGAGGCTAAGGCTATTGAAGGCTACTAGCCATGATGACTATGCTCTGCCTCCATGGTTGGAGGCAGCAATGCTTCTCAATACCAGCTGCTGAAACCACATGAGAAGTGAGTGCTTTTGCACTCAAGGGTTCAGCTTGAGGGTTTCCCACAGGCATCTGGTTGGGCACTGTGAGAACAGGATGCTGAACTAGATGCGCCATTGGCATGATTCATCAGGCTCTTCTTATGGCTAGCAGTAAATGGCATTGCGTCCCAGTCCAAAGTTAGCCATATGCAGAGCAGACCCATTGAAAATGGACTTAAGTAAATTGGATATCTCCCAGTGATGGCCAATCCCCTTTGGGGTGGAAAGTGAGGCCAACAGTAGGCTAAATACAGGGCACCTTCCCATATGTCTAGGTGTGAGATCACATTTGGCAACAGAGATATATTCATAGAAAAGTAAGTGTATACATCATGGCTGCTGATAAGAATTAGATTGTTTCCTGTTTAACAGCATACTGTTTCTCAAAATGATTAGTTAACAGTTTGAATGATCAAAAACTGGTGTGAAATAAAGTGCTTAGGCAGTTATGCCGCATTGATGTCAGCCCTGGGAGCCAGAAAAAAAAATCTCAAAGAAGGTGGCAAATGGTTGTGTAAATCAGAGTCCATTCACTTTGCAATCAGAATGGTCCCAGTGAACATATGATGGTTGAACAGTGTTGTGCAAGGGGAAGAAAAACAGCAACAGCGAAATCAAGACTCATTTATTAAGCAGGGAAACAACTGGTGGTAAGATGCATAATTTTCTGTGAGATGTACTTTCCTGGAAATCTTTACACACAGGTTGTAGGGCATGTTGGTGATGCAAGAATAGATTGATGTTCTTTTCATTTATCCATTGCTTTTTCATCTTGTTCTCTTTTACTAAAAAAAAAGTGCTTGGGAGACACTCATCTAGATGTGTTTGAGAATTAAGAAGACCCATTAATCTCTTGAACAATGGCACATGTACATAACACATCCATGGTGGGTGCTGTGTTAACAATGCATATTCAGGATGTCTTCGGCATGCTGTTACAATCCTACCTTGTCAACTTGTATTTTCTTTCTAGTATGCTGAATTTGAGAAATATAACAGTTAACAGTAAAAATACTATTTTTTATTTTATTTTTTGCACATTGAGCTAATCACAAGAGAGATTCTTGTGCAGCTGGACCTGAAAATTAACACAAATTAATGAATCTGTATCGATACTCTGACATTAGTAGGGCCTGCTATATACTTGGCAGGAGAAAACATGAAATCCAGCATTCCAGTTATTGCTTATCATACTGAACTGGTAAGCTGTAACAAATTTAAGTACACATGTGTGAAATTCATTAGGGAGTCTTGGCACCAGTTAAATTACATCCAGGATAAAGGATGTGGATTAGGAGGCTGTGTTAGATAGGTACCCTGCTGTGACTCTAAGGAGAATCTGAATACCTTGTGGGGGAGGAAAGAGGATGGAATTTCAGCTTCAGTTCTGCATTTGCCAGCTTTCGAGAAGATGGACAAAATGGATTTTTGTTGCTGTTGTTGCTAATAATGGTAGCTTTTCTCATACCTGCAGTTCTCCATCTCAACCCCTGTATTTTGTTATGAGCCTGAAATCTCCTGAAAACAATAACCACCTGGGGATGGATGAAATGAACCATTTCATTTAAAACAACAACAACAACAACAACAACATAAAACAAAGTGATGCTTAATGGGGAGAAATGAGTTGTCTATGTGAGATGCCATGTGGTTTTGGATGTAATGGGGACCAGTGAGTTATTACATCTACTCCATGAGACATTTTAGCATATTTATTTATTTAGATGATGGATATGCTGCCCTTTGTCCAAGTCACAGGGAGGTTTGCAAGTGAGTACATAAAAATCCATAAAGTCCATAAAAATAACGCAAATCAGTTGTATAGAACAGGAGCAGTGTAAAATTAAGCTACAGTTAACTTACAGTTACTGGCTAACAACTGTGCATGCAGAAAGTCTTGGAATAGAAAGGTATGGTACAACTAGCAAAAGTGAAGAGAGCCCTTTTAAGGGAAGAGCAATTAGTTTCTGTTCTGGGGGGGGGGGGGCAATTTATTCTCCACATAGTGGTCTAGGTCAAGCGTCTCCTTACTGTAGTTCATGAGCTTACCAGTAATTCAGGTGGTCTGAGAGGAACAGGGTCAGTGGCTGTTCTGGGACAGATCAGAAATGGCAGGGGGGAGTGACTTGAAAGGAGTGGAAAGAGGATTAGGCATCAGAAGCACATTTTTTATTGTATTACAATTTAATAGAATCATAGAGTTGGAAGGGATCCTAAGAATCATTAGTCCAATCCCCTACAATGCAAGAATCTCAACTAGAGCATTCCAATAATACGAACTGTTGGAATTAAAGTTGTAATGCAAAAAGCATGCAGCAGCTAGCACAATGCATGGCAATCACTATAACAGGCAGGAAAACTAAAATATCTGGTGTTCCGTCAAGACCCTTAACAATTTTCAAATAGCCCATGGAGGGGATGGGAAGGGAGTTTGGGAACTACTTGCCTGGGGAATAGAAGTGTATGTTGCCACACAAACTGGCCTCTTTATGCAAAGCTATTGTTGTTATTTCTATCAGACCAGTGGTTCCCAAATGTTTCAGGCTGGTGTGCTCCCTTGGTTCCCTAAACTCATTCCCAGTTACCCTTACCCTACCCTATAAATAGCATTATTGAAAATAGCAGTTGGCTTGAGCCACTTGAGGAAGATAATAACACAATAAGATTCAAAGCAGTAACAATTAATTGCATTTTTATTTGAAATCAAATTAAAACTATTTAGTTTAATTAATTCACATAAAACCTGATGAAGTTGATCCAGTTTCTTTCATGGTGCTCTCGAGCAAACGCCTGCTTAATTTCTTGAAACCTAAAAGCATTGTGTGCCCTTGGACCATTCTCTGAGGCCCCCTTGGGGGTGATGTCATCGCTCAATGGCAGAGCATGTGCCTGGCAGGCAAATGGTCCCAGGTTCAATTCCTGGCATCTCCAGGTAAGGCTAAAAGAGACTTCTGTACGAAATCCTGGACTGCTGCTGCCAGCAGCGTAGACAATATTGAGCTAGATGGAGCAATGGTCTGACTCCGTATGAGGCAGCTTGCTATGTTCCCTATGGCATGCATTGAAAGACTGCATGCCCAAGGTTTGCACGAGGGACTGGGAACATCATCTGATCTTGACATTTATTTCCTCCAGAGACTGCACCAGAATTTTGTTCCAAACTGACACTGAGACATGATTGACATTGCACGATTTTGACAATGTGTGTGTGTGTGTGTGTGTGTGTGCGTGTGTGCAGGGTGGGTGGTTGGGGGTGATTTGATAGGCTTCAGACAAGAGAAAGGAAGATGCAAAGGGAGATCCTGATTTCAACCCTACAACTAAAATTTCCATAAACTGCCTTTGGGTCCTGCAGTGGGTGTTTTCGTAGATATACTTTAATCTCTTATTTTTGTATCAAGTGTGCTGTCATTTGTCACATTACATTATGCAAATCTTGGACAGATTTAGCACTCTGTGTAAATAAAAAAAAATGGTCATCTTGAGGGCTTCGGCATGTAACTGTTGAACATCAAAGATAGAACCATCTATATTTAATAGACAAAAGATTGATTTTGAAGCACAGTGATAAATATTTGTTTGAAAGAGGTAGTCATTCTGGCAAAATCGGAAATGATGCGTAAATGTGTATAGACAAAATATGTGCATTGCATACCATTTTCTTAATGAACATGCTGTACTGTGATTAATCTGATTCAACTGTCTGTTAAGTGGTGATGTTATTAAACAGTAGAATTGGAGCCAGCAGGAGCGAAAGTTTCCTGAGGAGATAGCTGTTTTAAATTTATTAGTCTTTTTAAAAAGTCTTTAAGTGTGTTTGTCTCAAAATTGTTTAGTCTTCATTAAGGTGTCACAAGACTCTTTGTTGCTTTTGCTGCAACCTAACTAACACAGTTGTCCCTCTGGAAATTTGTTTTAAACCTGTTACTGATTAATAATTGTCCTGGACTGCTCACAAGCTTGCTTTTATATTAAATCAAGTAGGTCCTGCAACAAAACGCACGGGGCAAATAGCCAGCCAGCCATTATGCAGGATACTCCGTTCTGTTCTCCCTCCCCACTTTTCCATTTCCAACCTTTCATTCAAGTTAAACACAGGAAGTCTGACAAATGAGCAGATATGTCACTTCTTTGGACATTAATATAGAAGCCATAGCTAAAGGTGTTCCCAGGTACAGTGGAAGTTTTGCATTCATGATGGAAGTTGTAGTCAGCCCAAGTAAAAAATGCAAGGATTCTATTTCCACACCAAGAGCAGACCTTTCCAAATACCTACTTTACACATGGTCACAGCCTACTTCCCAAGCTCTTTAAGATCTCAGTAGTGTCAGGGGTGGTGGTCAAAAGTACCACTGGACTAGCAAAAAAACACCCTTTTGTGAATCAGTATAGCTGTCTTCAATCCAGATTTTAGGTTGGAAAACTATTTTTTCCTAAAATGTATTCCCTCCCCTGCATCACTCTTTTCTTTTACATATCCAAAGTGATTTATTATGCCCATGTTTAGGGTTCCCAATTGGATTATGTCAGGGGAAGGGGCTGCCCCAGAGACAGAAGGGGTGGGGGGAAATAACTGAAATGGCAGTGTGAATTTCCTGATCCAATGTTTTCTTTTCTTCTGCCTCTGAGCCAGCCCCCACTCCACCTACTTTCCACTGAAATAATCCTTCTAGTCTCCATTTCACTTCAGATGGAAATAAATACCTCCTCTAGTCTGGACTCTGCATCTCCACTGCAGAGATTGAGGTGGATAGAGAAAGTAAAGGAGTACAGAGCCTCACCACCACGAAAACCTATGCAATAATTTGCTCCTGCCAGGCTGAAGCTTGCAAGCTGCACACAGATTATGGTTTTCTTTTTTTTAAAATTCTTTTAAAAAGTTTTTATTTTTTATTTTTTAAAAAAAACTTTATTCCAAAACCGAAAAAGAATTACAAACATCAAATTCAAAATCCATATTCATTTTATAACTTAAGCCTATTACATAGTTGACTAAATTAAAATATACCTAATTGCTATAGACTTCCCTTTGCTATATATAAATGCAACACAATTAGAAATATTATATTAGAATTTTTTATAAATTCCCCTAAACCCCCCATCTCAATTTTTTTTTTTACTTCTTCCATCTTGTTGTGTTGTTGTAGTATAATAATTATTCATTTGATTCTTTTATTATTTCCTTGCTTACCCCTGCACTTTTGACACATTATCTATTAATATTCCAGTTCCGGAACCATATTTTTTCATGTATTCCTTCACTCCATCCCACTCTTTAATTATTCTCTGATTTGAATGGCCTCTAATGATTGATGATTTTAAAAAGTTTTTAAAGTGCTTTTGCCCACCTGGAGATTCAAACCCTCCATCTGCCACCTGGAGGGGCCAAGGCAAACCTGGATATCTGGCAACCCTATCAGTATTCACTACACTGAGTGGCAGCAGCAATACAGGGTTGTAGGGAAGATTCTTTCTCAGCCCTTCATGGAGAGATTTCAGAGAGTGAAGCTTGAAACTTCTGCATGCAAATCAGATGCTGTACAGTGGACCCTAAAACAGCACATTTGAACTGTCTCCTTATGAGAACCACTGCAGCTTTCAAGGTAGCTTCATGCAAAGGAAAACTTAAACTTATTTCAGAGGAAGTTATCTCTGGATTGTTAACATGAGAGGGTCAAGGAATCAGCCTCTCGCATCCTGTCATCCCACCGCAACTATCTCAGGCCAGTCATGAATCAGTAGATGTCCTTATAGAATCCTTAATTTGGCACCCCACCCATGTCTGCATACCAGGATCATGTATCTAGAGATGAACAAGACATGAGTAAAGAGTATTGGAATTTTCTTTTGGAGGAAAATTCATCTTCTTCCTACCCAAGCCCTGTAATAGGTAAACAAATCTGAGTTTATTTTAGGATAGCAGATCATGTGAGTGGACTAAAGCCAAGGTAAAGACAGTAGCATGCAAACAAACCTAAACAGGGCTGAACTGATGCTAGTCACTATTCCTCATAACAGTTTTCAGCCATGCCGAAAACACCTCCTTTACTCAGCAATCCCCCCATCTTTATCATAATGAAGACTTTCCATTGCTTTCACTTGCCCTCAGTGACGTCATAACGTAGTCAAAACTGATTAAGCAATTGTTTTATTTTCTGATATCATGTCATCACATGACAATGTAGTACTATGTAGTATTACTATGTGATTCCTGGTTGGGTAGGATCACCCACATGACAAATTCAGGAAGGAAGGAAGTAGAAGTAGTCAGGGAAAGCAATTGTATTTTCCCCAGATTTCAATCTGAACATTTTGTTGGAGTAACTGGACATGAGAAGTTAATTTTCTTCATGAGTGTAAATCACCCTGTGGATGAGCTAATCGAAGGTGCAAGATCAGCCAAGCCAGTTACTATGATAATAGCCCAGTGCGCTGACTATATCTGTGATATCTGAGCAGTCAGCTCAGTGTTTCTTAGTCTGTGAGTCTGCAGTTAGTCTGTTAGTCTGTGTTACTTGCATGGTGTTATATATTAATTCTCTGAACTTGTTTAGAGCATCAGAAATACTTCGTATTTCTATCTATCTATATTTGCAAAAGCCTAGTGTTTTGCTGAGCCTTATCTTCTGCAACAGTGAAGCATCTTGGCTTCTGTGTAGCTATGGGTCCTGGGAGCAACTTTCACTGTGTGGGTATCTCTCCTGAGATTCCCAGTATGTTTATTGTGGCTTCATTTATTCTGTTTTCTTTCCATGTGAAAACAAGAATGCAAAGCTAAGGAATCATCAAGGAGATGGTTACATGGGACGCCTCTGGCCCCTTTTGGGTGTTTGGGTTCAAACACAACCTGCCTGCATCCGGAGAACTTTAATTGAGTAGATAAAGAGGTCTCTGTAATTATAAAACTGTAGTAGGTATAACAAGAGGCTAAATACATAGCTGTGGTTTTAATTAGACAGCGCTTCAAATTAGTAATTGTGGCTTCAGTGAGGAATCAGTGACTTTATACCCTGCAAAAGCCCCATCACAGCATAGCTCATTCCTCATTATGTCACACTGTGTGAATCTTTCAGTACATTGCCATGCTGAGCTGAAAAGGCAAACATCGATATTGGGTTATCTTCCTGGTGCAGAAAAGCTAGAATTGAGATTAAATTCATTCCCAGTAGAGATGTGGGAATATATTGTTCTTTACCATGTATATGTGTGACCATTTCTGGAAGGTGAATTTTTATATGTCAGAGTGGGTGGTGTGCCTATGTATATATGGATATTTGCATAAGATCAAACCAAGCAGTAGAACTTAAGTTAGGCCTTTGCAATTAGGGGTAGGGTCAGTTCTCAATGGCTCTTGCATGAGATAAATTAAGTAGGCTGCAACTTACATGCGCAGGTGAAGAAAGATTAAGATCTATCCATTCATCCCGAGATACTTGGGGTTGTATCCAGTGTTAGTCTTACTCAGAGTAGATCCATTGAAATTAATGACCATGACTAACTTAGATTCCTTAATTTCAGTGGGTAAAGACTCTCCTCCCTGGAAGAGAGGGGAGTGGTTGTGGGCGGGAGCCCGAGCACCGCCCGTAGCAGGGGGCGTTAGCACCCTGCCTGCCTCCTCCTCTCACCTGGCTGGCGCCCACGCCCCTCGGCAGGCATCCAACCAGGTGCCTCCGAGGGGGCGTTTACAGCAGCCTTTTGTGGCGGCGCCAGCCTCTCCTTGGCCTCATTCTTCTCCGTCGTCTCGTCGCGAGTCACCCACCCTCCACTCCCTTTTAGCTCAGGGTCTTTGTTCTTTGGCCTTGCTATGGACCTTAGGTTGGTAGCCCAGGTTGTCCAGGGGGCCTGGTAGGAATTTTTCCATTTGGCATTAGGCTTTTTGGTTTTTTCGCCTACCTTGTAGCACTCGTCACAACTTTTTGTGGTATTGGTGGGTAGGTTAGGCATTGGAATAATGTGTTGTGGTGTGTCGAAGGGCTAGGTGTGGCCATCGCCTATGCCTTCAATTTTTGGGTATTCCGTTAAAGGAATCTGGCGGTCGTGTACTCTGTCCGATGCCTGCTTGGCGGGAGGCCATGTCAGTGACATCAGGGGAGAGCCTATAGTTGGATTAGCATCAACAGGCTCCACCTACTGGTGAATAAACCCCTTGTTTTAGACATCCAATGCCTAAGCCAATACCTTTTCACTGCTGTAATCAATAAAGTTGTGGCCTTTTCTTGCCCATTAACCTTATATCACGTGTCCTTGCGTATTCATTTCACATTGCGGGGGTCGGGTCCTCGAACCACAAAACATAGCTGGAAAGGGTCTCGCCAGTACTTGCTCAGCATACTGCACACACAGGCACGCAAACACACACATATATAACACAATTTGCACTATACAATTAAAGCTGCATCATACCACTTTAAACAGTTATGGCTTCCCCCCTGTTCTTACGGTGGCTACCCAGATCCCTGTGGAAAACCCTTAAGCAAGACCCAAGCCCAAGAGCACTCTCCCCTCCTGCGGTTTACAGCAGCTGGTATTCAGAAGCATTTCTGCCACCAACTATGGAGGCAGAGCTACTACAGGCTAATACTGGGAGGTGTAGTTTGTTAAGGGTGCTGAGAGTTGTTAGAAGGCTACTATTCACAGAGTGGTTTAAGAAATCAGTTCCTCTTCCCAGGACACTTTGGGAAATTGTAGTGCTGTGAAGGGTATAGGGGTCTCCTAACAACTCTCAATACCCTTTACAAACTACACTGCTCATGATTCCTTGGCGGAATCTATGACTGCTTAAATGGATATGATTCTGCTTTAAATGTATAGCGCAGATGGAAAGTAATAGAGACAGCAGAGGGAGAGAAAATACCTGTTTTTGACTGTGAGTGTTATCTGTGGCAGCGATGTGGTCTGGGGTTCAGAACCCACCATCTTCTATCAAACAGATCTGAAGTGACTGTGCATTATAAGGCTTGAGAGCGCATTGTGAATGGGTTCCGATACGTACCGTATTTTTCGCACCATAAGACGCACCAGACCATAAGACGCACCTAGTTTTTGGAGGAGGAAAACAAGAAAAAAAAATCTGAATCTCAGAAGCCAGAACAACAAGAGGGATCGCTGCGTAGCGATCCCTCTTGCTGTTCTGGCTTCTGGGATAGCTGCGCAGCCTGCATTTGCTCCATAAGACGCACACACAATTCCCCTTACTTTTTAGGGGGGGGGGAGTGAGTCTTATAGAGCAAAAAATATGGTAACTACCTGCTCCTGTGTGTGACTTCTACTCTTAACAAGTAGCGCAGCATCAGAGAACATAATTGCAGTGTAGTTCATCCTTCTCCAAAATAGTTGGAATGGGAAGCCAAAATCACTGGCTGCAAAACATGTTGCGACTTTATGACAGTGGGACTTGACAGCACCCCCACACAGAGACACACAGAACCACAACACTGTTGGATTTCAGCTATGCCATGTGCTTTGTGACATCACAGTGAATGTATGGTTGGAATCTCAACCTCAGCTCATTGATCTGAGAATACATAGCAGTAAACGTTCTCAAAGGTGCTGTAATCCATATTAAGAAGCAGGTTCACCATCTGCTCTCACCCACTTCAGTGTATTTTGAACTATGTGACTCCTGCAGTGTCTCAAGAGGAGCACTTGGTGGTCTCCTTGGGCTTGACTCAAAGTAGACAGGAGCAAAATGGGTAAGAGGTGCCTACTGTTTCTTGAAAGGCACAAGAAGAAAGAGCTTTACCCAGTAAGTTCAACCCATCAGTTTTGATTCATTCAGATGAAAGATAAAGAATTGTGTTGGGCATCAGGCTAAAAGTTGTAAATGAGGGGCCAGCAGCTAGAACATCTGGACCAAATGCACCCCATGGATGTTCTGTCATCTTCTTAGCAGTTTCCAAACCCATAAGCAAAAGGTAAAAGTAAAAGGGAGGTGCGGTTGAGCATGAAGTATGGCAGCTGGACTTGACAGGTAGTAAGTTGTGAGGGTGAGTTAAGGTCTTAATCCTCCACCAACTCACACGGCCACATTCCATTGGCAAACTGGTCGTGTTATTTAACATGGAGGTATAGACCCAAATGGCTTTTCCTTCTGATTATGGCTTCATTCACATGGGAGCTTATTCTGTTTCACCGACATTCCCCTAACTATTAATTTCTGTGTTGTATTTGGGTTTTCACATGACATAAAAGTCACTTCTGGAAACCTAATGGAATACAGTGGAAGCTTTGAGCTCATTTTTGTGTTAACTGGTTCCAAATATAATCCACTTGGAATCCCATTGAAACAGAAAACAGAATTTGGGCCAGTATACCGGTTCTTAACTGCTGTATTCATGGGTGAATCATGGGCGAGGAGTGCCATCAGCTTCGACTGGTGGCCCAACTGTGTCCCTATCTGGACAGGGATAGCCTAATTTCTGTTGTCTGTGGTCTGGTAACATCTAGGTTATATTCAGTTCTATTTTTCTAGAAAAAAAGAGGTTCCAGAATACACCACGAACACCTCCTTTGTTCTCCTATAATGGCAATGGTGCCCATCTGAGAGGTTCTAACTTTGAGGTAGACAACACAAATTACCGTATTTTTCGTCCCATAGGACGCTCCGTCCCATAGGACGCACCTACTTTTTTGGGGGGAAAATAAAGGGAAAAAAATTTCCCTTTATTTCCCCCCCAAAACCAGGTCGGGAAACAGTGGGATGGCGGCGCTGCGCCTCCCCGCTGTCCCCCGAGCTTGTGGGGCTGGCTGATGTCTGCCCGGCGCGAGGGGTGCTCTGCTTCAGGGTGCCTCACGCTCCGGGCGGCAGGCTGCGGACACCTGCGCGAAGCACGGGGCGTCCTTCGAAGGGTGCCCCATGCTCCGCTCTGTAGGCTGCCGCCAGCAAGCCTTGCAGGCCCGGGAGGAGTTCCCCCGGGCGCGCAAGGCTTGCGGACACCTTCCCGAAGCATGGGGCACCCTTCGAAGGACGCCCCGTGCTTCGCGCAGTAGGCTGCCGCCAGCAAGCCTTGCGCGCCCGGGGGAACTCCCCCGGGTGTGCAAGGCTTGCGGATAGCTTCCTGGAGCCTGGAGAGCGAGAGGTGTTGGTGCACACCAATGCCTCTCGCTCTCCAGGCTTCAGCGAAAGCCTGCATTCGCCCCATAGGACGCACACACATTTTCCCTTCATTTTTGGAGGGGAAAAAGTGTGTCCTATAGGGCGAAAAATACGGTAGGCTATCTCTGTTGAGATAGGGACACAGTTGGGCCACCAGTTGAAGCTAATGGAAGGCACTCACTCCACGACAATGAGGCAACCTGAGCCTCAGGTGACAGCAAAGGAACCAGACAAACCCCCAAGCTACTTATCCACTCCACTTACACTTTCTCAGAACCAGCCCCACCATGAAGCAGAATGAGGCAGCAGCCTAAGGCAGCAAAAATTGCTTGAGGACAGAGCTGTGTGCATCATACAGCCTCCCCTATGTCCCCCTTGCAAGTCTGCTGCTCTCAGGTGCACGGCCCTGTTATCAGTTGTGGAAAGGTCACAGCTCAGTGATGGACATGCAGAAGACCCCTGCCTGAAACCATGGTGTACTGCTGCCAGTCAGTGCAGAGAATACTGGTGGATCTGGCCATGTAGAAGGCAGCTTCCTGTGTTCCTAAAACATTCCACTAAGGTCCATTTTGATGGATTTGCTCAAGCAGATATTTTGGTGCACATGTTTAGGACTTGGCTGCCAATATGCAATTTAAAGTCAATTCACACAAATCATTTAATGATAAAGCAAGAAGCTTTTGGTGTGTAGTAACTGGAATCTTAAAATCAAGTTTCTCATTTGTTTTATTTCCTAAACAAAGGATCTCTCTCAGACTTGTCAACACAACCATTCTGTTTTAAAGTGCTGATTTACAACTAACAGCCAATGTATCCCATTTGTTACATCTCTGTGCTACCTAGAAGGACAGACTATAATTATGTACATTGATTTGAGCAATTATAGAGCTTGATTTTTATTAATCTACTTTTTAACCTACTAGAAAATAGTAAATGGTATATTGCTTATTTACTATATAATTATGTTTTTAGTAATGATTTATGTCAGACTGGATTAGATTGGTGGGATTTAATTAAACACGTAAAGCAGCAATAAAAGTGGGGTTTTTTTTAATTAAAACAAAGCTCCTGTTACAATATTCTGGTTGCATAAATTTCTCTTATTAAAATGTCTCCCACACATGTAGCCCTGCTTGCCATAGATAGATAGAACAGTTTAAACTACTGTAGTTATGATGGTATTTTGCCTATGAAAACGTGGTGAAGTACATTCTATCTAGGAAGAAGGCTCTGGGTTCAACTCGGGAAGTTGCCTTATGCCAGTTTGGATTGTTAGCCCATCCAGCCCAGAAATGTCTATTCAGTCTGGTACCAGCTCTCCAAGGTTTCAGGCATTCCCTTCACCTGCAACCTACCCTTCTAGAAATGTAAACTTTCTGGAAATTCCTTTGCAGGGAAAAGCAGACAGAAATGTGTTGATGTTTTTTTCCCACCTGTGAATTGTTTTATTAGACAATTTATGTAAGCAAGAAAGTCTGACTATAGCACCATGTTGACTCTATGCTTTGATTTAGATTTTCGCACCTGCCAATAGGGCTGGCGATATTGATATATCGTCCAAAACTGTTTTGAAGTCTGTATCAGTTTCATAATTTTTGACCTGGCAATATATTGAGAATCATGGTATGCGTATTGTGTGTGGCATGCAAAAATCACAATGTAAGAAAAACTGTGAAGCCAGCCAATGCCTCTACATAGCTCCATTCTCACACCAGACATTGTGATATATCATCATCATCCTTTTTATTCAACCGTCAGTCAGAAAAAAGTACATTTTGTCAATACACAGTTAAAAACATCCAGGAAGATTTTAAAACTTAGCCAACACTAAAATGGGCTAAACAGATAGCCCCATATCAATACAGTCAATTATAGTCTTGCGACGCTTAAAGGCTAAGAAGAGAAATTTGGCCACCAAGGAAGGTATAGCTCTAGTGGCGTTATTCAGCAAGTGTAAAACCTGGTTTTCTCCGGGTAGGAGGCTAAATTGACATAGGAGTGGGTCTATAAAATTTTGTCTAAGCTCTGCATAAGAAGGGCAAGTCAAGAGAATGTGTTCGGTGGACTCGACCACCCCCATGGCACAATGTTTAGCTGGTTGATATATCGCGATGCTGAAAATCAGATATCGCCCAGCTCTATCTGCCAGAATTGGGTCTAAACTAAGCTAACATTACAGTGAAGACTAAATGCAGTCTAGTCAAACTGCAAAAACAACTGGGGGGGGGGATAGTTGTTTACGAGCAATGTGTTGATTTGTATTTACAACAGGGTTTTTTTTTTTGAAACAAGTTTAAAGACAGTTGTGGTAAAACCGAAAACCTGGCACAAACCTCTGCAGGTGGTACAGGGACCTCCAGTCCTGGAGATAGGAATGTCTGGATCCGGTGGCCCACCTGAATAACTGGCAGTTGGGTATTATGAGTCTGGGCAAGGCTTTCCACTTAAAACTGGTAAGAACAATGTCTCGGTACGAAGAAGAATAACAGCTTCTCTCTCTTTTTAAAATTCTAGTCACTATGAACAAGATCGGAACGCACTAAAGAGGAAAGAATGGGAACGGAGAAATCAAGAGGTCCAGCAGGATGAAGACTTCTTTACATCTGGCTTTAACCTCTTTGGAGAACCCTACAAGGTAAACAAACAACTGAAGCTGTATTCAACATTCATTTCATTTGAAACCGTGCTCCCCACCCTCCGCAATTTCACCAAACATTAATCACACGTTAGTCCCTCAGAGAGGATAGTAGCGCTGAGGGCATCCTCTCGGTTTCATGCACTGCAAAAGATGCTTCCATAGAAGCGCATTGACTGGTTTAATTATCTGTGGCAATTGGGGGTCCTCTGGGCTACCGCTGGGTTCTTCTGCATGAGAGCCACCCAGTGGCTGAAGTACCCTAGTCTGCAAAGGATTGTTACAATAGCAAGAATGATTAGCACTGAAACAATTCAGTGGCAGTTCCCACTATGGAGATTTCTTGAATATGATATCACTGCAAGACAGCCGTGCGAGTTGACCGTCGAGGCCCTGCTTTCGCTCAGGTGTTCAACCTGTGACTGGGCTGTGCCATTTCAGGTTGTGAGTTGGGGGCTAAGGCTTGCGTAGATAAATGTTCCTTCTCTCAGAACACAGAAAACTTTTTCTTCTGTATGAAAAGGTATAGCCCAGAAATGGGTTTACTTGTGATATCTACAAAATACACAGACATGCCAGAAGCCTTTGTTCTCCCTGATGCATATTTTTGGAATTCTGCAGTCAGGAAAGGAGGGGTTTATATTTTCTATTTTTCCAGTTAAAACAAAAAAACCTACCCCACCACAAACTACATTTAAATAAGACTCCCAGAAGGCACCTGAAATAATTTATTTATTTGTTTCCCCCTATCTTTGCTGAATTTTACAAGGTTTTTTAAAATAATAATAATGTTTTTATTATCACTTTTCATTAAAGACTGAGGATGATGGTTCTTTGAATTTATATCTTACTTTCCCCTCTCCGCTCAAACCTTTCACAGGAATATAAATATCATATAAAGGGAAGTGTGTTGCTCATTAATTGCTGTTGTGAATGTATATCCCAGTATCCGGAACTCTTGCCAGAACCCATAGCAAAATCCAAGAAATATAAAACTAGCAGAACAATAATGAGCAATACTGAGAGAATCTCTGTGAAAACAAGCTCCTTAGCCCATGCAAGTAAACTCTGAATTGGATCCTACCAAAATCATCCTCCCCTGGACCTGCTCAGTTTTCTTGCTCATTAGTAAATTATGCAGGCTCCTTAGCATAAAGATCTTAGCTGAAAAAGGCTGTTCTGTCACATACCATTTCACCAATGCTTATTTCCCCTCTTCCCAGGGCCCCACTGCTGTTTTGGCGGCAGCTTCTTCTTCTTCTTCTTCTTCTTCTTCTTCTTCTTCTTCTTCTTCTTCTATTTGCCACTTAAGGAAATTTTCCCATTCATGTAATCTCAAGTCCTCACCCGCATCATATAGCAAGATCTCATCTTGTCACGAAATGGTGCATCATCGTTATGTTTGCTAGATGATCCCTGATTGGTTCATATCACTCGTCAGGCTAATCCAGGTGGAAGCAATGGTATCGAGGGAAATAGTGTTGAAGCAGTAACCACCAGGCAAAACAATGGAACTGGACAGGACTGGCAGGGCTGGAGGTGGGGAGGAGAGAATGTGAATCTGTTCACGCAGCCTAAGTGGCTTTATGCAGGAATGACAACCCACTAGTATCAATCTGAATTTTTTTACTGGAAAACACTTGGCATATCCTGCCACCTCCACCACTTCCAAACTGGCACACAATCCCTAGATGGTTAAGAAGGTATACACCTCATGCGGAAAAACAATTCTTCCTGAAGCAAAGGGGGAAACTCTCTCTCTCTCTTTTACCGTCATAACTATCCAAAGCTGTCTTTTGGGAGAATGGTTGAAAATGTACAGCATATCAGCAGGGTAGCAGAGCCTCTTCTGAAAATCCTCCAAGGGACTTCCTTGCCTGTGATTTTCATCACCAAGGGATGTTCCCCATTTGACTGTCTCTGCTGCTTTGATGATCACCCAAAAGCATTCCCTGAAGAATTCAGCTGGATTGAAATGCACAGATTCCTTTTTTCCTTTCCATCAATGACAGTCTTTGGCAAATACCACCTAGGGTTCGTATAACAAAAAGATAATGTGGAAGATGAAACCTTTCAAGTCTTCTCTGCGGAATAAGCCTAGATCTGAAGGCATGATTGTCCGAGGTCATGAGCGCAAATCACACAAGTGAATTCGAGGCAGAATTAATTGTTATTTTCTGTCATCATTATTTTTAGTCACTAAGCATTATGTAAACAATTATGCTATTTTCTGCATTGTTTTTGGTGTTTCCCTTCCACTGAAATTCATGGAAAGTAATTATGTAATTAATTACATTAGTTCCAGCCACAGTTCATAGCAAATTGAATAGTGTAAGACTCCGAACTGTAGCAACACAGAAACACTGCTGATTGCAATTAACACAAAATGGGACAGAAGTCATTGTCTCCTTACATCCCTAGCTCTTCTGTTGAGATATGACCCCTGTCCCTTAAATAAAAATGAATAAAATGAATAAATAAATTATTAAAGTTGTATACTAGCCTTCATTTGTAGATCTCAGGGCAGTTCACAGCATAAATTAGGATACCTTTTGATCCTTTCAGTGTCCACATTAATTGGATCTTCACTTCTGATTGTCTTTGCTCTCATTCATAATGTCCCTGTTGTTCCACAAAGCTTTGCTAGTTTATGTTAATCTTAATTTGGCAATGATGGGAGAAACCCTGTGACTTGATGATGCCCACTTATCCAAACTCAATTATCCAAGTTCTCTGAAATTTCATCAAGACAGCTGTTTATATTCTGCTGCTTCTTTTGCCACATCTCACATCCATTGTTTGCTTCCTGCATCCACATAAAACCTGCTGCAAGTTTTGGATTATCCACCCTTCACATAGGTGGTTGTCTCCTTGGTCTTTTGAGATTGTAGGGCCTCCATACTGACACTGTTTTATTCCTTTGACCTGAAGCACCGCTTGCTGCAAGTCCTGCATTTGTCCATTTTAACTTCATGGCCTTTTCTACTACAACCATAACTTTCTATCTTTGTTACATCCAGTTGTTAGTTTTTATTTTTCAGAACATTGCTCATTCTAGAGCATGTGGTGTTATTCTGGAGGTGTTCATACTTCTCTGTGTCATGGGCTGGATCTAGAAACATCAAAGAAGTGTTTCAGCTAAACATGCTGTAAATTTAAACAGAGAAACAGGTAGAGAAAAATTGGGTTCCACAGTGCCATCGGTGTCACAATGTTATATCGCATATACAACGCATATAAATTGCTTTTCCTTTACCAATCTAGCTGAAGTCCATGGACTGTTTTTCTCCACTAATACACATCACAGGTAATATGCACAGGTAATTGGCCCAGTATACCTGAAGGAGCGTCTCCACCCCCATCGTTCAGCCTGGACACTGAGGTCCAGCACCGAGGGCCTTCTGGTGGTTCCCTCACTGCGAGAAGTGAGGTTACAGGGAACCAGGCAAAGGGCCTTCTTGGCAGTGGTGCCCACCCTGTGGAACGCCCTCCCATCAGATGTCAAAGAAATAAACAACTCTCTGACTTTCAGAAGTTTTTTAGGGAAGTTTTTAGTGTCTAATGTTTTATTGTGTTTTTAATATTCTGTTGGGAGCCACCCAGAGTGGCTGGGGGGCCTGGCCAGATGAGCGGGGTATAAGTAATAAATTATTATTATTATTATTACTATTATTATTATTATTATCATTACTACTATTAAACACTTTAGCTTTCAAGTCGAAGGAAATATTTCTATTTTTCATCTTAAAGCTGCATTTTCCAAAGGCTGCCCAGGATTGTTTTATTTTCCTCCCTATTTCGTTTGGTTTTCTGCTCTCAATATGATTTTTTTAATCCTAAATTAATGTTTTCTTCAATGTGCTTTGTTTCTTTGTTTTAAAATAGTATATCATTCTCTTCTTCAAACATTATTTTAATCTTGGCTAGATTCACCTTCATACCTTTTTTATTCTTCACTGTGTTCTTCCAGCATTTCTTGTAGTATTATTTTTTTACTTTCGACTGTTATGGCTATATCATCTGCATATTGTATGTGATTTAATATCTTCCATTGATTCCTTTTTCTAACCACCTCAGCTTTTTAAATACACCTTCCAAGTTGACTGTAGGTGATTAGCTATCTCCTTGTCTTACGCCTCTTTTTAAGGGTCTTGGACTGGTTTTATGTGGTTACCCCAAGCGAATGGTCTCTTACTCACTTTTGGTTGTCACAGTGTCCTTCAGCTCCATTGAAGAAATTCAGCTAAAACCCTTTCATGCGGACATTTGTCACTGATGTGGAATAGTTCAAACTGAGAAATTGAACCCAGTTGCTTCAGTGCAAAGTGAGCTTTATGGGGCACTGAGATGATAAGAGAATAAAGAAAGGGGAGTCAGGTCTAAAGAATGGAAACAATAAACAAGAGGAAATCTACCCAAAAGGGAAAGGTGAATCTTTTTGTAGGAAATAATTTATGTAGATAGCAGTATATTTCTGTAGAGAAGAGTGATACAGAACTCTAACCTTAATGATTAGAATCACCTGCATCTCAGCACATTAATGGGCCAGTAGGACCTTTAACATGGTCTTTTAAGCCAGTTGGCTTGAAAGAGAGTCCCAGATGGTGTGGAACATGGCCAGCTGGTTGTGGAAAGAATTATGTGGAACTGGGTTTTTTAAGGCATTTTTTCCAGCACTTGCTAAAACCAGAGCTCATCTCCTTGTCTGCAGAAGTCTCTACTTCTGAAAAACTCAAAGAAACAAGTAACTGTAGCTTGCAAATTGTGTCTTGATGTCCAGTGCCTGGGACATGAACAACTACAGCCAGATGTCACTTTACTCTAGGAAAAGTGAAATGTTACTTGATTAAACACTTTTTTAAAAAAAAAGCAGGGAGGATCACATTTTGCTATTCATCACATTTTGCTATTCATCAAGGACTTTGAATGAGTGTGAAGAATTATACCAGTGAGTCAAACCAGACATGGAGTTTATGTCTTAGTGGACTCCCCTTCATTAGAGGTTTTTAAGCAGCGGTTGGATGGCCATCTATCACGTATGCTCTAGTTGAGATTCCTGCATTGCAGGGGGTTGGACCTTGGGGTACCTTTCAGCTCTACAATTCTATGATTCCCTAAGTCTTCAGAAAAAACTGCATAGGTGAAATGGGTTTTTAACTAGTTCTTCACGAGAGAGAGAGAGAGAGAGAGAGAGAGAGAGAAAGAAAGAAAGAAAGAAAGAAAGAAAGAAAGTTTAGGAGAAAGCTTACTATAGAGTCCGACAACTGGGATCCATGCAGTACCTGATCAAATGTTTATCCCAGACACCTGTAACTGGGTGATGACTATGGCCTGAATGTTAGAGATCAGCCTTCCAAACAACATAGAAAATATATTAGCTCCTTATAATTCTTTCTGGCCAAGCTGATGCCTGCATACACTTAAGGGATCTCATAGGAACATATGAAGTTACCTTAATACTGATTAATACCAAGTTCAATCCTCAGCATCTCCAGGTATGGGTGGGAGAGATCCCTGCCTGAAACCCTGGAGAATGACTGCCAGTCAGCTAGATGGACCAAGGGTCTCAGTCAGTATAAAACAGTCTCTGATGTTGATACTGAACTGTTACCAGGCAACCAGATATTCCCATTTCCTCACCTTTCCAGAAGTGAAAATCCGCAAAGTGTAACCAGACCCTTAAGACGAGAATTGTCTAAGTGGCAGCGGCCCAGCTCCCCACCCCTTACACAAATGCTGCCTCAGCAATACTGCAGGGAGGATATGAGAGGAGGAGAACAAGCAAGCAAGTGTTCACCATTTGCATCGTAATTCCTCCCGGTCCCTTAAGCACAATGGAATCTCCTTGTTTAAAAAATTGGGGGGGCTGAGCCTAGGCTAGCTTTGGCTGCTGCCCAAACAAGTTCATTGTGCAGCTTCGGTTGAAGCAGGCGGGTCAGGCACAAAGAGCTTATTCTTAGCTTAAACGGAATGCACTTTTTTGCCACTCAAAATTACCAATTTAAGAGTGGGTTTTTTTGTTTTCAGTTTTGGTGTGTGTGCTTTAAAAAACCCAAAACTGTTTCTTGTATACAGTGTAATTCTTAGCTTTACACAATTGATGAGCTTTCTAAATATTTACTTCAGTGCACAGCTCCTTGAATAGAAGCCCTCGGAGGAAAACCAGAAGGGGGAAAATGCATTCTTCCTATTCCCCCCACCCTTTCCTCATAATCTTATACTCCAGTGTTATGATCAGGGGTGTTGCAAACTACTTAACGGATTTGGGACACAGGTGCATGAGTGTGCATTTGCATAAAATTTGCATTGCCTGATTTGTATGGATGGGTGCTTCTGGGGAATTAAGACGGGGTGGCTGGGGTCTCCTCCATACTGCGCTTTGCAGACTAACCCTATGAGCAAGGTTTCTTTGAAAAACAATGTTGAGAAAAGGTGGGAAAGGGCAAAAGAGTTTGGGGCCACCTCAATAGATTTGGGGTTCAGACCTAAGGACTACGATCTGAAAACACTCCACGTTGTGGTAATCACTGGGGATACTCTTCTGGTTGCTTTCCTCCATGAAATACCATAGCTTTTTATTCCACAAATGTTCTGGTTTATTATTGTTCCACGTTTGATGTGCTGTAGGCCTTCCACACACGGCAATAATGTGGTAGCATCGGGGAAGTGTCGCAGAGCAACTAATATGGCAAAATAAACCCACCACTAATGCACTTTTGTTGTGTCACGGACATGTGCCAGAATATACTTTGAGAAATACACCCGTCCAGAGAGACCAATTTTCCATTTCATTTTGCAGCAGAGATAAAAAGTAACTACTGAATACCTTTAGATATACCTTTTTCTGTTACAGTTGCATTGATAGAACCATGGGTGCTGATTATGCCTCCTCCAGTTCCACTTTTAAGTATCACAAATAATCAAAATGGAGAGGAAAGAGGGATGAAAATATAACAGCATTTGTCATTCCCAAAGGAGCAATGGCACTGCTGGAACCCACCCCAATTTAAAACTAGAGACACACTTCACTCTTAATCTCAGCAAACTACATTCTTTCTCCAGTCATTTCCTGGATTTGCATCCTCCTGTGGAATAAAATAGTTAATATTACCCCTACTTAAAAACAAGCACAGCACTCATAGCCTCAAAAAAATGTATTTAGTTCAGGGGAATTTGTGTAATCATTAGGTTTCTTCAAGCCAATTCACACTTGGCTACCCTTCCCCTTTCCTTTAGAGGTAGACTCAAGTTACCCCTAGTAAATTACCTCTCTAAAAAAAAAAATATTTCTAGCTACTGCTCAGATGTAACTTTGGCCCATAAAATGAGCAATAATCTGTGTACAAATTCCTGTTCATATAAATGGATTCTTTGGGGTGAGAAAGAGGAAAGAGTCTGGAAAACAGAGTAGAAAAGCACTGGAGATGAAAACATAATAATGTCAAAAATGAGTCAGGATTTGCTTAATAACTGCTGCACAGAAAATAACTGTGAATCATAGATTTGCAAAACAGACTCTAAACGGTTCTAGAAAACAGAACAGAGGACTTCCAAATCTAGCTGGCAACAATTTATATAGATACATATCCCTTTTATAATAGATCTTAAGCAATCTTTAGAAGAAAGTTGTTTAGGAGTACTCTCCTAATAATAATAATAATAATAATAATAATAATAATAAATTTTATTTATATCCCGCCCTCCCCAGCCGAAGCCGGGCTCAGGGCGGCTAACAACAATCAAATAATCAAACAATCAAATAATCCAACATTCTAAAAACATTTCATTATAAAAATTAATTAAAATCAAATTAATGGCAACCGTTAAGCAAAATTCTGTGCAGGTTGCCAGAGGAGGGAGTCAGGCCTACTCATATTGAAATACTGCCCAAACTTAGTTTCACAAAATGTTTAGGGGTATGTGTACCCCTGCGTACCCCCAGAAAAAAGCACTGAGCAGAACAATAATATTAAGAAAATCTTTCTAGAGTTTTCTGCCTCACAATGTAATACAACAAGTTAGGCCAGAGCTTTTCAAACTTTCCACGTTGGTGAAACACTTTTTAGACATGCATCATTTCGTAACACATTGATTCAGTTTGACTAGCAAACTGGAGGTTAAACTAACCCCTTTCTAGCCCTGGAAGGAGCACGGGAAGACTGCTGCTGACACACTAACACCGTTTGGAAATCTCTGAGTTAGACTATGCTCACACTAGCAGCCTGAAGTTCATTTCCCCTGCCCTGCATTTCCCAGTCGCTTTCTCCCACCACTGTTCACACCAAAGCAGAGGCAGGGGGATGCCTTCACCCGACGATTTCTTCCCCTGTGGTGTGTGGGCGCACTGCCAACCATGCATGCACAAAAGCCGCCCGAACTTGTTCAGAGCGCGACAGAACTGTGGCTTCTGTTTTCAAACCGGATGGAACCTGGTTTCAGGAGAAACAGATCCAAAGAGGAGTATTTCCCTTAAGGCTGCGGGACACAGATGGATTGTGGCTAACGTCGTGTGAACCTGGCTTAGATAAAACAGCGGCGGGAGCACGCTGGAGTAAATGGTAATGTGTACAAACCCTTAGATAGCTATAACTTATAACCATCACCATCTAACATAGTAGACTGCCTGGGGGTCCTGTTTGCCATTGCTGCCAGCCTTTCTACGCGCTTCCTTTTTCTTCTCCATTGGGGTACCCAGCGTGAAGCCCCTCCAGATGCTGTGCTCTACAACACCCACCAGTCCCAACCAGCATGGCCAATGGTTAAGGATGGTGGGCATTGTAGTTCTGGAGGCCGTTACATTGGCTACCCCTGCTCTAGGCTGGCAGCTCAAGGGTCAAAGGCCGGACTTGCCTTTGAGGACTCCAGCTGCTGTTTGTGGGGGATACTACAAACAGAGCAGGCACTAACCACTTCTTGTACCTTTCTCTCTCAACTTGAAATGTCACATGCAGCCCAAGCCAATGGGTATGAACTCTATTGACTGCTTATATCCGCATGTGGCTAGGGGTGCCTACCTCACACACTAAGCAGGGACAAAACAAATGCTAAAAACTTTCTTTCCACACCTCAACAAGAGAGATGTTGAGTTCCTTCTTGTACGCTAAGGATTTTCGCTTGCCCTTCCCAGTTGCTAAGCTATAGGTTCTGATGATTCTGCGATTCTGTGCACTAACAATGGCAATCAAGAGATCTGTAATAATGAAAAGATACATAATCAGAGCATGTAATCCCCATAGGAAACATTGCCAGCAGTAAAAGCCAACAGTAAAAGCATGGGATATGAAAGTGAAAACTCACAATGGTGGCAAAAATTAACTGAATTGGTCAGAATGATGGGGAAAAGAGTAAAAAAAAACAAAAAACCCAGAAGAATTTGGAAGCTTATCGTCTCATTTTATTGAACAGAATTACAAGATGCAATCATTTAACATTTTCTTGCAGCAGAAATGCAACGTAACTATGTTGGAAGAGTATTAGTGATCTATAGCACTGGCTATTGTAATAGATGCTTATAAATGTGGAACCTATAGTCCATAATTAGGACACTTTCTATCTGAAGAGCAGGTTTATGCAGATTTTTTAAAAAAAAATATGTTGTCTATGTTTTGGGGGGGTGTATGAATGAATGTAGACTTTCTCGGTGCAAAATTGGCACACAAGCTCATAATATTTTCAATTTAAATTCAATGCTGAGGAATTTTTTTGAGGCAACAGAGCTTTCCTGAGAATGCATCCAAGGATTTTGAGCCGAGAAAAGTCGTATTCTGAGTCCATTGTTTTTTGTCTTCAACAGCACCGCTACTTACCCCTGCTGCTTCTTGCAATCCTAACACTGCTTTCCTAGGCATAGATTCCACTGAGTCCAGTAAGATGTCCAAGTAAATGTTACTAAGATTGCAGCCATGCTGAATAGTGAAATCACTGAGGTATATTCATGTTGTCATTGTTTCCCTTCTTGTATTTCAGACTAACAAAGGTGACGCTCTAGCCAACCGTGTCCAGAATACATTGGGGAACTACGATGAGATGAAGGACTTTCTGACCAACCATTCCAACCAGAGCCACCTTGTAGGAATCCCACAGAATTCTGTGCCACAAACTCCAGTAGATAAAAATGAACAGACCTTTTTCCCAGAACAAAGGAACCGGATGGTCCCGCCCCACCAAATCACCGGGCACTCCTCAGCTTCAATGCCGCCCCCTGCGGCTATATCTTCCAGTTCAAGTTTAGTGCACAGTCACCAGAGCAGCAGGAAATCCAGGACTGACTGGTCACGTGTCAGCCACAACTCAAACGGTGGTCAGCCAAGTCAGTCCGGGAGTGCGCAAAGTCGGACAAAGCACAGCTCATCCCACGAACCTCCACAAGGCAGGTATGATGACCGCTATGCTTGCCAAAGCGAGCAGCATAAACCTGGAGGAGGCGATGAAGCCAATGCAACGCCATCCTCATCACACTCAAGGAGGCATACCCATTCAAAATCAGGAGTGGCAGAACACTCTTACAAAGAAAGCAGCCACTCAAAGTCTCCAGTGGATCTCGAGTTTCTGGGCCATGGGCCTGGATCTCCGCTCCCATCTACATCCTTGTTGTCAGGAAATAGTGGTCTTTCGACTCAAAATTTCCTGCCGGGCCTCCACTGTAAGGGCAGCATGACTCAGCAAAAGCCCACCGCTTACGTTAGGCCAATGGATGGTCAAGACCAGGTTCCCAACGACTCACCGGAACTGAAGATGCCAATAGAAATTGAAGGCGTTTATGGAAACCAACCCTTTGGGATTCCACTGGAAGGAAAGACCACTGGACCCAGCTCAAAGAATAAACTACCAAAGCTTAACATTCCTCAAGCTAGTGAAGTAAGTCTTATTTATCTGTTCAGTTGTTTACTTACCTCTTTTGCCTCCAGGGTTTCAGTCCACTACACTTCCTCAGTTTCCTGTTTAACTGACAGTCTCTTACCCCACATCCAGACCATACTTTTAAAGCACTATGATACTAGTTTAAACAGTAATGGATTCCCCTAAAGACTTCTGGGAGCTGATTTTTCCCCCGGGATGCTGAAAGATGTTAGGGGACCCCCCTCTCCATCTCGCAGACCTACAGTTCCAAAAGTGGTTTAATTGTCAATTCCTCTTCGCAGGTTGCTCTGGAAATTATGTGTTTTCAATATCTATTCACTGCTTGGGCACTGCAGCTGAAATGAAAGCTCTTTTTGACATGCTGTTTGGGTCTCACACAGATTGTTCTGTCTATTTTTAAGATTACTAGGATGCACGTCCTGTTATGCTTATCCTGCTACCTGACCCCAAGAGTGTGGTCAACATAATCAGGTCTGTGGTTAAAAATAGGAAAGTGTCAGTGGGTTGCGGTTTTGTTGTTTGTTTTGTTATTGTCAATTTAAAATCTTCAGAAGAATTGCACAACATGGATACCTTGGGAAGTATTTATACAACAGATAGATAGATAGATAGATAGATAGATAGATAGAGCCCATTTTTTGTAGTGCAAAAAATGTGGAGTGTTGGTGGAAATCTCAATAATCATTGGCTGCAATAGGTAATAGTTCTCATCTTGCCAAAACTTGGTTGTAAATATGCTGTGTATCCAGGTTCATAGAAATTAGTTACCTGGGAAAGAATGAAAACTACAGTCCTATCCACATTTACTTAGAAATAATTCCAATTGAATGGAGCTCTAATGACTATATAACATATAATGATTATAATTTAGTCCCTCTCCATGCTAAGTCACAATCCCTGTTTAGTCTCTTTTGTGGATTACTTATTTTTTAAAAAAATATTTGGGTAAGTAGGGGTGGAGCACCCCATTTTTCTTATTGCGGTGAAATGGGAAAGCCTGCCTTGCCACTGCCACCCACCTCACCACCTCTGCCACTGGTTTTTTTGTGAGATCACACTGGTTTCCAGCTAGATCTCACATGCCCTGCAGGATCTTGCGTAAGTTTAGTAAGAGCTTGCTGGAAATTGATGTGATCTCACTCAAAATCAGTGCTGATGCTGATGCCAGTTCTCTGCCAGCAGGAGAGGTGGCAGGACAGCCAGGGCACCCACAGGGGCACTGCCTTGCTTGTTTCTGCCACCTAAGACAGCTGCCTAACCCTGCCTAATGGCTACACCGGCCCTGGGGATAAGGCTTCTTAAAGAATTTATTCGTTTTCAATAACAATCTTCCAATTAATGACAAGTTAAATCAAATCAATCAAAATTACAATAATAACAATAGACCAATTATGTATTCCAATTATAAAAAAATTCTTGGGACTTCCCATGTTCCAGAAGTCTGGAGATAATCATCCTCATTCATGTCTCTGCATTTTCAGTATTTTTCAAATTCAGCACTAATATTATCCATCCTTCTTCTCAGTCTAATCAGCCGTTGTTTCTTTGGCTCACATCTAGTAGCAAAGTTTTTGTGCAGTTAACCCACAAGAGGTGGGGGTTTTTTTGGGGGGGGGGGGTAAGGCTTCTAATGGTGCCATTCTTCAGGGATCAACTCCTTTAGATTACACTCATGGTCCCTTCAAACACTACAATCCTATGCTTCTATTTCATGTAGTCTCTAGAAGCAAGCTCCAGAGTGAGAAACACGCCTGTCTTGTATCTAGTACATGTGCATGTAAGTGCATGCACATGAAAACCAAGGCACCATACCCAGCTGTTTCTCCAAATGCAGCTGGGGCTGCATGACAGCTGAAGGCACCAAGTTGATTAGCCCTGCTTTAAATCCAGACCAAATTTCAGAAGCTAATAGGTAGCTGCTCAGCTATCCCAGTGATTAAGTTCCAGAGTAGGGCTCAGCCTTGCCCTGGGAAGTCCTTTGCAAAATCAACATAACTCATTCAAGTTACATAACAGGACTTCCCTGTAGCGGTTGGGTTACCGTGATGTAGAACTTGACTCTCTGTAACATTGTATATGCTTAGTCTTGAATACAGGCAACTCTCCAAAGTGCATGGTATAAATATTGTACTATTATTTTACATTTAAGAGGTGTTAAGCAAGGTGGTGTCTACCACTGCATACTTCCAAACAGATGGAAATAGCAGGACTTGCCTAGCAGAGTTCCCAAAATACCTATTTCGTGGCTGGTAATATTTTTTACACCCTGAATAAGTGATGATACATTCTTAGGGTGGTTTATTGCGAAAGGTCGGCTTCCCTTACCCACATTCAAACCCCTGCCTGCCCGCCCTTTGGAATAATTGTTTGGGGCCAATAATTTGTTTGACTTCTTTAAAGAAGGAGGGAAATCCCTTGCCATTATTTATTAACATTCCAAAGAGCAACAAAGACTGATGTGTTTTGCAGGAGAGCTTGGAATAATTTTCTGGGAACAGCATCTGAAAACCGTAAAAAGACCTATTTATATGAAGTGGAAGCTGAGGGTTCCTTGCAGATGGTGTTTTATTAGAAAAATGTATTTGTTAATAAACGTAGCTGTGTACAAGATTGCTTTACAGATGTTTCTGTTTATTTTTACCTTTGGTTAAAAATCTGCTGGAGTAGTCTGTTGCAATTTGTCACCGGTATTGTTTGGCAAGGAAATAATTGCACGGAAAGAAAATAATGAGGTTGCAAAGGCAAATAAATGTGTTCACTCTTGCTGTCTATTAAAAACAAAAACATATCCATTAACAAATTTGAAAGAGAATATTTAAGTCAGCAGTTGAAGGGGTGTGTGTTTAAAATATAGTGTAATGGGGGGGGGGGCTGCTTATGACCAAAGGCCTTGGATCCAAAGAACTGCGGGTAGAAGCCAAAAAGGTTTTAGCATTGGTTTCAGAGCATGTGTGAGAGAGCATGTGTTTTATTAAGACCAGAGTATAGAGGCAGAGCGTCAGCTTTGTATGCAGAATATCCCGAGTTCAAATCCCTGGCATTTCCAAGTAAGCACTGGGAAAGTTACCAGTCTGAAACCCTGGAGAGACCCACCCAGTCAGTGTGGACAAAACTGAGCTAGATGTACCCATGAGTCTGATGGCTTCCAACATTCATCTTGAAATCAGCCCTTTATTCAGAATCACGAGGAATGGAATCCTGCTTAATTAAGTGGGAAACCATAGCTCAGTGATAAGAGTTCTGACTTTGCATGGAGAAGGTCTCAGGTTCAATTGCCATCACCTCTATGTTGGGACTGAAACCTGGAGAGCCTTTGTCACTCAGTGTGGACAATACTGAACTACAAGAACCAGTGCTCTGACTTGGTATTATGCAGCTTACTGTATTCTTAAGATTTCTCACAGTGGAACATTTTGAATAGTTCTCTTATCACTAGGGATATTGGAAAATTCCAATGAAAACAGATGCAGGGGCAGAAATGACTGGTGCTCCCTTGCTCATCTCATGTCTAGAACGGAAATCAATATGAGTGAATTTGGTTTGCCGTGAGTGCTGTTGGCTGTTGCTTTCATTCTGCAAACAATGCGCAATTGGTTATAGTTCCCAGTCCACATTTGCATTATGTTTCCTTTGCACTGAAATTAATGGGGTGGAGTAACATAATGGCAATGTCACTTATGCAATTTATGTAATTAATTATGTAAGTTACATGATTTCAGCACAGCAGACAGTGAGATGAATAAAGTAGCTTTTAGTGGAATATGAACTGCTGTGGAATGGAAACAGTGTGGCATGCAACAGATGCAGCACCGGGTGATTTAGGATGGGTTGGACAGTTCCCCTACACAGTGCCGAGCTGAGGGGATGCATCCTCCTCTTCCTCCACCTCATACCTATATTTATATAGGTACCTACTCATTTAGATAAGGGATGCGGGTGGTGCTGTGGGTTAAACCATAGAGCCTAGGGCTTGCCGATCAGAAGGTTCGAATCCTCATGCCGGGGTGAGCTCCTGTTGCTCGGTCCCTGCTCCTGCCAACCTAGCAGTTCGAAAGCACGTCAAAGTGCAAGTAGATAAATAGGTACCGCTCCGGCGGGAAGGTAAACAGCCTTTCTGTGCGCTGCTCTGGTTCGCCAGAAGCGGCTTAGTCATGCTGGCCGCATGACCCGGAAGCTGTACGCCGGCTCCCTCGGCCAATAAAGCGAGATGAGTGCCGCAACCCCAGAATCAGCCACGACTGGACCTAATGGTCAGGGGTCCCTTTACCTTTACCTTACTCATTTAGATGGGCAATTGAGTTGCTGCAACTAGGACATAGCACACTTGAGAACATGTGCAGAACAGAAAGAGAAAGGGAGGGAGGGCACCAAATTTTGTCCTCACTCAGGGTGCCATATTACCAAAGTCTGCCTTCTGACAAATACAAGGTGGCACAGAAAATGATTCTGCCTTATATCCCTATATATCACTCAATGATTTGCCTAGGAAATACCTTTGGAACTTTCCATTCCTCCTTAGCTAGCCGTTCCTTGTTCTCTCTGGAAACTGTGGCAGTTTGTAGATCATTATATATCAGAAGCAATCAGGCCCCTGAAAGTGGGAAGTGAAAAGTCCCATAACGCTTCTGACACCACCCACCTAAGCCGTGAAACATGGAAAATTTCTCTTGCCATTCCTTCTGAGAAAATGTTTTGACGGGTTCAGTGTACAGTGAAATGATAAGCTTTTGTTATATGTGTTTCAAATCACCCCCTTATCACAGGATATATTGATTAGCTTAGTACTTCCTCAGCAAGCTATAAAAGAGAGAGAGAGAGAGGGAAAAGGAAGGGCCTGCACTCTTTCTGGATTAAAGAGCACAAAAAAATTGACAGGTAGATAACCATATTGATTCAGCTCGAGCGGTAAATGCAAGGAGCTTTGTATATGACTTATAAAACTTTACAAGCGCAGTAGGTTTTAGGGGTTTATATTTTTATTTCTTTTAATTGAATGGAAGGGCTAAGAAAAAGGGGGAGAATAAGGGGTGGGGGAAGAGCCCTGGGTTAACTAATTCCTCGTTTTGTGTTGATTTGCCAAATAACATTATATTATGCCCTCTGTTTGCGGGTGGATCTTTCATTCCATATTTAAGCCTCCCCTTTGCTTTTTAGAAAACTTCAGAGGAGGAAGAATAATGGACTGGAACAAGCATTAGGCTGGAAACCCCCTTTGCCTGGTTCATATTTCAAATAAAATAAAACGACCAATAAAACAAAGCCAAAAAAACCTCAGTCCCTTAGCATAGTCGTCCGTGGAGTATTACAAGGCCTGGCCATGTGGTTTACATTTGTAAATACTGTGAGAAGTATTGCTTTTGCAATACTTTATAATGAAGGCCATATGATGGGCTCATCAAGAGAACTCTGGCTGTAGACACGTCTCTCTTTATAATGCGGCTTGGAAGAGCCCCATTTCAGGGGCTTGGCCTCTGGCTAGCACCACCTGCCACCCAAGCCTGAGTGCACCCAGACTGAGCATTAAGTAGCTATCAGAGGGGAACCAGGAGCTGGAACTAATGAATTGTGCTAGGGTAGGGGTGGTGAACCCTCTTCATCTTGAGGGCCACCTTTGTCCCAAGGGCAGCTTTCTGAAGTCCACATGACACTGAGGGAAACACAGAGCCAGAAGGAAACATGGGTGAAGCAATCAGAAGAGCTGTGCTTCAGCCAGAAGAGCAAAGGGCATTATCAGAGTTGGGAGGACACATTCTAGCTTGGCAAAAGCACTCAAGGAGGGTGTTACACAAGACCAGTGAGGGGTGTGGCCTGGGGAGGGATATGCCTTCCAGAAATCTGTATCTGCCACCTGTATCTGCCTCAATCTTCATCTTTCAGTGGCTGCTAGCCACAATGCTATTTTCTTCATCTACTCTTGAAGGTATTACATAGCCTCCAACACATTGGGGGGGGGGAATAACCCAAGACACTTCTGGGGCTGCACTCCCACACAATTCACGTGACCCTTGTGAGATTGCAGCCCCCAAAGACACACTTTTTTCAGGGCAGCATGGTGCCTCAAACCGTGGCCCTGAAAAAGGTACTTTTCCGGGCAAGTTTGCAGCATCCAAAATGGGTGCTGTGCTCTTGTGTGAAAAAAGAGAGGATGTATCTGTTTTACCAGGACACTTGAGGGGTAGGGACATTTTGCCTATGAATACTATTTTATGGGAATCACAAGTATGGAAAGTGCGGGTGCCATCAGGTCCTATTTTTGGGCATCCTGTAGGCATCTGGTTGGCCATTGTCAGAGCAGGATGCTGGACTAAACTGGCCCTCTTTGGCTTGATTCCGCAGGGCTATTCTCATGCCACCTCATTGTGTGTAATACATTGGTTGCCTCTGATTAGTTGCACACTTCAAATACCTTAGCATATACCAGCATCAAGCCTTCAAGCACCATTCCTCTATTGCAATGGCCAGCCATGCATTCAGTAGAGTTTTGGGTTGTGTACCCATCATATATTGAAAGCAAAGGCTTCCCACAAAAAAATCCTGGGAATTTTAGTTTGCTAGGGGTGCTATGAATTGTAGATCTGTGAGAAGCAAGCTACATTTACCAGGATTCTCTAGGGGAAGTCATGTGCTTTAAAGGTATGGTGTGTACGCATCCTTAGTCTGAAAGCTGCCTGGTGGTAGTCAGCTGCAGATACCCCCACACAAATTGCAGAAATCATTTGTGCCCCAGTTAAATGTGCTAATATCACTGTTTTGCCGTGCAAAAAAAACCTGAGGAAATCTCTTTGTAGAGCATTTCTAGGTTTTTACAAACCATCTTTAAGCTTCCACACACACTTTTTTTTTGGTCCCTGATTCAAATATGGGAAAACACTTAAAGGCTTCAAGTGAAAGCATCATGTAGGAATATGTTAATAAAAATAATAACACTTAAGAAAAAGGAGGAAACAAAGCACATGCTAGGAAACAGAGTTGACCACCTACCCTGGCAATTACCCATGACTTGTAGATTCAAGCTGAAATTTAGCTGGCTAACCATTTCATGAATATTACAGGAGGGGATCTGATTTCTGAATTTTATTTTATTTTATTTTTTATTTTACTTAGGCAATAAGTCTATTGCTTGGTTGTTGTTTTACCAGACTTAAGGAGAAAGTCCTTTGGATAGAAACTTTTGGCTGCAGTTTTGGTAGTTTCAGGGTGAAAGCGGGGGCCAAAGCCAACCCACCACCACTGCTTGGGTTTCACCACCATTTATTTTGTGATATGTGTGTGGAGGGGAGAGATTCCTGTCACTTCCCAACATCATTTCTTCTTATATATCATTCCTTTGTAAGTCACTCTATGAAGCCCCTCCCCCTACCTTTAAAAGGGGTCAGTTTGAGGTGCAAGGGGAGGGACTCAGAGAAAGTTGTGAGGGGTGGGGTGAAGTTTAAAGAGCATGAGTGACCCTATGTCAGGATGTTGCATCTTTCCAAGGCAATTCAATTGGGGGAGAGGGTATGGCACCCCTCTCAGCACCCACCATTTTGCCCCACAACTCCTTTTTCAAAAATGTTACATTATGACATGGGATCTCTTAGAGAAAAGATTGCGAGCAAAGAGGAGAGAATGTTGCCTTACACTACCTGAGGGGAACTGCAATGCTGCTGCCACCACTGCCATTAAATTTCACCCTAGGATTGGGAGATAAATTCAATTCAGTTTGCATTTAAAGGTGAACCTACTTAATTTGCTTATTCCTCTTTTTTGTTTTGTTTTACAAAGTACTAGTTAGCTCAGTTTCAAGCAATAGACAGACTGAAATACAGCCATCCTTTGAAAGTCACACATCCCCAAATTTTGCAATGCAGTTCTCCTACCAAGTAATGTCTACTAGAAATGCACATACTTGGATAAAATGTGTGTGTGTGTGTGTGTGTGTGTGTGTGTGTGTGTAATCAAATACTGAAATTCATTGCAGGCCCAGAAGCAGTAAGCAGACGAATGTCATGATCGCCATGGACAGATAGAGTAATAAAGACGCAGCAAGGCAGTTCTTGGGATCAAGCAGACCACAACTTTATTGATTACAGATGCAATACGGTCTTGGCTTAGGCACTGGGGTTTGTATCCTGAATTGACCAACCTAATCTGCAGGTTGATTACTCCATCAGGGTCAACTGTGTACCACCATGTACACCACCTTGACCTCCTTGGAGAAGATGTGGGATATATATTTCAGGGCTCTACTGATGTCATGTAATTCATCCAGTAATCTATCAGTAGATTACCAAAATGCATAGTTTCCCAATGCATCCCTTGGAATTTGATCATGTTAGGCAACCCATCATTCAGTGGCTTGTTGTGTGCTGTTACTGGTTTCTTCTTACTGAGGAGCTCCTGTTGCTGTGAAAAACCCCAGAGTTCTTCTGGAACTCAGTTTCAAAATCCCTCCTCCTTAAGTGGATTGATTTTGCTTTTTGGAAAACAAAGAAAGGACATAGCAGCTGCAGTTTCCTTAAATTGGTATGAAAGGATGTTGCATGAAAGATTTAATGGCAGTGCCTTCCTCTAAAGAATGACATCACACCCTCTGACCAGCTGTTTTTAGTATAAGTTTGAATGTTGATCAATTATTATTTTTTTGTAAAATTACCCCTACGATTAATTGGCCAATGGTTCAGAAGACCTAAAAACTGACTAAAGAAAGGAATGGATTTCTGAAGGACTGTCAAATGCGCTGGAAAGTTTTAATAGTCCCATGATTCGGGACCCCCGTTAATGTGTTGAATTAAGACCAGGGAGACCCAGCTTCAAACCCCCACTCAGGCCTCAGCCTAGCCTACCTTGCCGAGCTGTTGTGAGATAAAATGGATGAGGGGAGAACCACATATGCCACCTTGTAGTTCATGGGAAGATGGAGATAATCAATACATAATTAGTCAGGATCAGATAAATAATTTCTAGGTTTCCTAAACTGTGTTTCAGAGAGCTGTTACTTTCCTTAGAACATTATCAAAGGGTTCCTCAATGAGACAAAGTAATCCATGGTGGACCAGTTTCCCCCAAAAATGGCTAGCAACTAGTGATCTTCCCTGGCAATGCCCAGTCCCATAGGTGTATTGGAATGGTTCTAAACAAACCAGTGGGTGGCTCCATCTATATAAAAAGAACATGCGATGTAAGGAGCAGGACTCCAGATCCTGCTCAGGGTTGCTCAGGGGTCCCTCTGCAGACAAATCAGTGTGGAAACCCTTCCCTGAAGGCCAGCTGTTTGAAAGCACTGTTCTAATCAGAAGGCAATGGTTTATTGGGGGGAGGACCCTCAAATCTACCTGGGGAATAGGAGACGGGGGACAGGATAGCAAGCTCAAGTGGCAATAACTCTCCTGGTATGCCCCACAGAGGACCTTAAGGTCCACAAATAACAACACTTTGGAGGTCCCGAGCCTCAAGGAGGTTAGATTGGTTTCAGCTAGGGCCAGGGCCTTTCCAGCACTGGCCCTGACGTGGTGGAATGCTCTCTCACAAGAGAATAGGGCCCTGCGGGACTTGACAAAAGACAGAGCTGTTCCGCCTGGCCTTTGGTTTGGACTTGGTCTGACCCTTATGTTTCTCTCCCCTTATGGTCTTGATTTATTGGCTATTTTAAAATGAGACTGCATTTTAAATTGTATTTAAATTGATATTTTAAATTGTTTTTTTCCCCCTCTCTTTTCCCCCTATTATGTTTTTACTGTGATTTTATTGGTGTTAGCTGCCCTGAGCCCAGCTCTGGCCAGGGAGGGCAGGGTATAAATAATTTTTTTTAATTATTATTATTATTATTATTATTAATGAAGAGATGTGTAACATTTTGAGCAAGGAGGCCAGTCTGGAAGCACCACATTGCATATAGTTTATATGTGACTTTCCAAGTCTGACTTCTGAAATGAAAGAAACAAACTGAAACCAATTCTGAAAGCTGGCTCTGGATGGTTCTTAATTGGCTTCTGCCCATAGGGTCTCCAAGAAATAGCCCCACCAAATGCAGGAGCAGTTTCACACCTTAAAACATGCTCCCATCCTATGTGCTATTAGCAAACCGATTATAATTATCCATGTAAATAATCATGCAGTGCCTATATTTTGCTAAGTGCAATACAGATAATGAACAATGAAGGCATTCCCTGCCTGGCGACTGCAGTCGAATAGACAGGCACCAGTTATTAAGGTTAAATTGTTCTTACAATAAAAAACTTATAACAGAGACGGCTCATGGAGGGGAGAAGAAAAATGGCAGTTGGTATCTCAGTAGAACCCATGGAGTGGCTTTGCTTCTCATCTCTGTTACAATCAATGGTGCAGTTAGAAGAATTTAGATTTAATGGCTGGCCAGGGCAGGGGCTCTTTGCATAGTAATATGTATTACTTCACTTGTTTCAAATTGTGGTAAGAGAGCCCAGTTACATTGGGAGCCCCTACTGCATATTTTTCTTAAAGTGGTCCTTGAATCCATCCCCAGAAGTCCTGTCTTGATGGTACCACTGTCCAAGTGGAATGGCTGCTATCATGTTCCTGTTCAGTCTAAAACTGGGATCCCAGCAGCTACTGTACTTCCACCCACAGACTTTGGCAGCACCCTGTGAGTTTTCTTTCGAGATCTTTAAACACACACACTGCTCAGTTTCAAAATAAGTTTGTTGTACAGTAATGCTGTCCAAGTAACACAAGGCTTAAGCACACACACATACACCCGTCTGGGCAATCAAAACTGGCTGCAAGGCACTTTGGATCCCGATCTAACTTTCCATTACTAAAAGGAAACACTGCTGTTTGGATGAAGAACAATCTTTAAACAACTTATCCTATAACATTATAAGAGGGGGAAAGCAGCCTTTAGAGTCAATTGCTAACATTTGATAGAATTTGTGGGGAGATTGCTTAAGGGAAAGATACCTAGCTTGTTTTGGTGGATCCCTTTAGGAGATTGATAGGAGTTTTTCAGGGGGTGATTTGAGGTGGGGAGGCAATGCACTGAGTGGGGAAACACTTTGCTTTTTCACTCCACCTAGTAGAGAAGCTGTGCTGACTCCTAGGGAAGTGGGAGAAGAGCATAGCTCAGCAGTAGAACATGTGCTTAGCATGCAGAAGGTCCTTGGTTCAAACCAGAGACCCACCATCTCCCATTCAGAGAGTGACAGGAAGGTTCACAGCCTGAGTGAGAACCCTGAGACTCACTGCTAATCAGAGTTTAGAGTACTAGATGAGGTGGCCAAATAGCCAGACCTTGTATTAGCCAGCCACTTATCTCCATAACTATTAAGAAGACAGTAAGATGGAATATTAGGTTGTGTACTAGCCATATTGATTGCCCTCCTCCCATTGCTGGAGGCAGTATGCTTGGAATTACAAGCAGGGATATCACCAGTGGTGACAATTAGTAGAAAAATCAGCGGTCATATGTGTTGTTAGTGACTTTTTACACTTACATCTATAGTTGCCTGTGTTTTAGCAGGTGAACATTGAAATAGGTATTTTCTTTAATATGCAAATCAGTGCTTTCCTAATTAAAACCAGCTTGACATGCTCTTAATGATATTGGCAAATTTCTGCAACCATTTGTTCCTTTTCATTTGAAGCGGTGGCTGCATGGCGCTTCTTGATTGAGGTCTTTTGAATCCAAATCGAGATGGTAGATGTCTAGCCATAAGCCTTTGGTGCAGAAGTATCGTTCCAGCTGGGTTTCCTTGGAGAGAAGAGGAAGGAAATATACACAATATTTTTTGGAAGCTGAAGTTGCTGTAGAGATATAGCTTTCTTACATCAGTTTTCTCAGAAGGGTTTCCTTCTAAATTAAATCTCATGTTCTATATGCTTTCCTGCTTCCTGCTCCCTCCTGCAGCTATAGCCCATAATTAGAGATGGAATAGTCCAGGGTCAAAGACTTGTTAATATTTCTGCAGCAGGGTGCCTCTCTCCAGCATCCTAGAGCTGCCCAATCAGTATGAAAGGGGAGAAGAAGCCAGGAGAAGAAGCCTTCTCACCCTTTGTGCGGATTGGAATTGTTGTTGGAATTCATATCTCTTTTGAGATACAATGGAGTGTGCCACCAGAGCTGAAGTCAAACCGCTGCATTAGCAGCACTGAAGTGGCCTCTCTGGGGCGCAAGCCTATTTAGTGCATATAAAGATCCTGGGCTGCCCAGATGGCAAGACCCCCTTCTCTGCCTCACTGTTGTGGTCCAAAGGAAAGCAGTGCAAATCCGTTTGGCACCAGCTTGGCTGTAGGAGTTGCTGGAAGGAAGTGTACAAGCTGCTGTTCAACCATCTTAGGAACTCCACTCCGGATTTGCGTAGGGTTTACTCCTTAGCTTTATCTTCTCCCAAAGATATCCTGCAAGGACTTCCTGCAGATGTTTAGGATCAAGGCTTTCCTTCTCTTAGTTGGGCTATTTTCCCAGGCTGATGAGCCCACCTGCCCCTGACTTTCCTCTACAGCACCTGTAGAAACTGCCTTCTTGACCATTGGACCCACTATTGGTCTCCTCAGCCAGAGTAAAAGGAAGTGAGCCTGCCACTGAGGACTAGTTCCTAGGGTCATTTTGGAAAAGGTACATGGAAAGGACACTAAGGAAAAACTTTTTCTATAAGCTAGGCATTTAAGAAGACTGAAAACACAAGGTGCTTTGAAGAGAGTGGTGTGCAAGTTTGTTTGTTGTTTTACATACAATGGAACTTCATGGAAAACACTCCAAAGCGTTTGCCCATGTATGTGCACAGAAAATAGATAGAGCTGAAAGGTAACACATAGAGATCAGCAATGATCATGGTAATACATCTCTAATTATTATTATTACAAAATTTTATGATTATTGCATAATTATAGTATGGTGTTAGAAGGCTGAGTGGCTGTTAGGGGACGTAGTTGTGACTACCACGAAGGGGCCCTGAACTTCTGAATTTGCCACTAAAATAATGCCCAGTGGTAGCCAACATGGCACTTGGGAGATGTTGTTGGTTGGACTGCAGGCAAAGCCCAGAGAATAGAGTTATCAGGAGTGCCGCAAAGAATTTAGTTAAAAGCCCAATGTGTTCAAGAGAAATTCCTGTGCTGAGCATCCATTCCCTGCCCCACCCAATAAATGAAGCCATGTGAAAATGGCAAAGCTAAACTGTGCTCCAAAATTAACAGTCACAAGATGAAAATGACATGCATTTGCGATGTTACCCCTGTGCCATTCTACGACTGTCCTGGATGCCAGCTCTGGGGAGAATGAATGGAGGGCTTAACAAATACTAGAGCCGCTTGCATCTTCATACATAATAAACACGGCTTCTGTAAATAACTCTTTTTATCTGTCAAACATTGTAGGCGCATATGCCATGCTGATTGTCATGGGGGTCGTAAATAAACAATGGATCTGTCTGTGCACGTTGCTTGTTTTTTGTTTTAAAACATCTGCGCAGGGATAAAAATGGTAGCAAGCTCATTTTGATCATGAAATGACACAGGATGGGAAAGGTGGGCTTAACAATACTCCTGCTAGGTAGACCCCAGGCTGCTTGAACAAGCATACCCAGGGAGTATCATCTGGGTGTGAGGTCTCATGTTGATTGCCACAGGGATCTGTCCTCAGACCTGTGCTGTTCAAAACACACACACACACACACACACACACACACACACAATCTGCATAAAAGTGAAAAGGGGATGCATGACAGATTTGCAAGGAGCACAAAGCTGGGAGGGCTGAGTAGCACCATAAAAGACAAAGGGATCTTTTTAGAATCTGATTTTCTCAGTTAGAAGGCCCATTCAGTCTTAGGCATAGGGAGGGCGACAAGCAGACCCCTCTTGTTATATCTTTGGCTTCTTTTCCCTTCCCTATTGGTAACTTGCTTACATAAGACAGCATGCCCTGGTGGACATGTTATAGGAATCCATGCTGTTAATGGGATTCTGCTTAAAGCTGAAAGTTTGTTGTTTAAAAATGTTTCTGTGTTCTTTTGTTTACACATATGGACTGTTTGGAAGATTCTGGGTTGTATGGAACTTTGCATCTCTTTATCAGATTTACAGTGCTGGGTATTTGATGATTGCATAGATCGAGCTATCTTCCAGGGGTGTGTATGTGGAGAAGATCTTGGCAGTTTGAGACATTGGTTAGAAACCAACAAGTTGAAATTCAAGAGAAATGAATGTAATGTCTTGCATTAGGTACCAGAAGAAAGCCAAAGGTGGAAGTATAGGATGGTGGAGATCTGGCTTGGCAGGAGTACCTGTGCAAAGAATCTCATTGTCTAATAGTGCAATCCAAACTATAGGAATCCAGCACACATTACACTGGGTGCTGCTGCAGACTGAGCTGACATGAGCATGGCAGAAGGGAAATAAGCCATTAAGAGAGTTTGATATACACAAGTCTTTTTGCCATTCCCACTGCGTTGCTAGTTCATGGGAGTAAGTATTGCTGTGCCCTGCCCTGCCCTGCCCTGCCCTGCCCTGCCCTCCTTTACTACGCCCCCAGCACTCACCTTTTGGGGGACTTACCCCAGCCTTGGCTGATCTGGCTTTGGCTGAGCCTTGGCTGAGTCAGGATGAAGAGCTTTAGCCAGCATAGCCAGAGATCCACCTAAATAGCCCACCTCATCCTCCCAGATCTAGGGTTTGATCTGTTCCATTAGCTGATCACAAGGTGAATATGAGCCAACAATGTTACGTTGCTATATATTAAAAAAAGCCAATGCACTCCTAGGAGGTTGTATACTAAGGTTGTAACTAAGTCATATTTGGAATAGACCCATCAAAATAAGCAGACATAAGTTATTCATGTTCATTGATTTCACAGGGTCTAGTTTGAGTATGACTTAGCTACTAACTATTGGGTGTATTGAACTTGTACTGACAGTAATCTCATTGAAATTAATGAACCTAAGATAGCCATCTCCATTAATTTCAATGGGTCTGCTCTGAGTATAACCTAGGGCTTGTCTACACTTCCACATGTGCCTAGAAAGCATGGGTTAAAGTGGTTTGCCACTTGACCTATACCTTCTAGGAATGGGTCGTTGTGGTTTTGCCCTTCCCCAACTCCTTTCCAGTGGAAAACAAACTCAGTAAGATGATGAAAGATCTTGGAAAAGTCCTATAAGGAGTAGATACAAGTATGGATGTAAGAGGATGTTGTTTTCCATTATGCCCTGTATTTGCTGCATGCAACACTGCTTCTGTTCCACTGCAGTTTGTCTTCCACCCAAAATAACATTGAATGTCTTGCTGTCTTTTGTGGTGAAATATGGTTATCATTGCATTATTCCACCCTGTTTGTTTCATGCAAAGGAAACACAATGCAAATAGTGGGAGAGTAATCAGTTATGTGTTATTTGTGAACTGAAACAACAGCATTGATTACCAATTATATTTGCTGGATTGGATTCCATTCCAGATATGGGACATTTCTGTTCCTATTTCTGTCTTTGTTGGAATTAATTGGCATGCTTAGTTGCAAGGGCTGGATATATTTAGTCCGGAAAAGAGAAGATTACAAGATATGATAGCAGTCTTCAAATATTTGAAGGCCTGTTGCACAGATCATTTCCTATTGAGAGTTAGGCTCTCAGCACCTTTTACCCCAATGTGGAAGTGGGGGACACCTTAGGATGGTCCACCCCCAAAGGCTGATGGATCCCATGCATTTCCAGATGACCCTGAGGGATTTCCCTGTTCATATGACTGGCATTCCAGTTGAAACTCTGGATGACCTCTGGAACATCTGAATGGCTTGGACTGTTGACCTGATGGCCCCTGAGTTCCCTCATTTCATGAAGCCTGCTTGGCTGTCTGCTATATTCCATAACTTATGGCAAGGAAACAAACATGTCTCAAACATGAATGGAGCAAAACTGTGGTTGAATGCAATCAAACACTTGTGAGGGCTCATAATCAAGCCTACCTAGTTGCAGTGAAGACAACAAAGAAGGCATACCTTGCTGCCTCCATTCTATCATCATTGGTCCCTCCAGCAGAGCTTTTCTGAGTAGTGCAGACCATTTTAAATTCCGTCCCAAAGGAGGTGGCAGAACTGACTGCCTTTCCCCATATGAACCAACCCATACCCTGTGATCATCATCTGAGGCCCTGCTTTGTGTGTCCTCTCCAAGAAAGGTCAGGAGGGTGGCAACATGAAAGCAGGCTCCTCGTTGGTCAGATCCTGTCCCAATGGAGGGGACATATCTTTAGGTGCCAGGTGAAAATGTCCTTCTACGATCATGCCTTTGGCTGATAAAACAATCTGTGGCCCTTTCAATGTATTTCTGGGAGGCGGATTTTTAGTTTGCATTTGTTGTTTCATTATGTATTTTGTGTTCTCATTTTGTATTTTTATATTGTGAGCTGCCCTGTGATCTTTGGATCAAGGGCAGTGTGCAGATTTAATAAAAAAGAAAGAAAGAAAGAAAGAAAGAAAGAAAGAAAGAAAGAAAGAAAGAAGATTTCGGACAGATGTCTGTCAGGGATGCTGCTGTTGCATTCTGCATTGCAGATCCTGCATTGAGCAGGGGTCAAACTATGTGACCTCCAAGTTTCTTCCAGCTGTTTGAATCTTATTATTCTAAGGATCAAGCTACACATTAGGATTCATGCGTAGCAGGTAGCTACGCCTCTTGTTTTTCTCAAATAAATTACAACTGCAGGAAGTGTGATGGTTATCAGCAACATGAGCACACAGGGGCAAGAGGTTTATTCCTTTCCCCTCCAGCCATTAACCCCCCCCCTCAGGAATCACCCCTGCCCAACTACTAGGCATAGTAAAAAATAAAAATGGTGCTAATAGGATTTTTGTTTCTAAACATTGTAGGTGCACAGGGTGACAATTTCAAGGGGCGGTTGGGAGGTCATGAATGGCAAGAGGAATGTAAGAGAATTTTGATGAAAAACAGAAGCGGAAGCAAAAATTGCCAATGTTGGCTTATACATGGAATTGTAGAGTCCACCCCCTGCAATGCAGGAATCTTTTGCCCAATGCGGGGCTCAAACCTATGACCCTGAGATTAAGATTCTTGTGCTCTACCGACTGAGCTATGCTACACCTCCCATGTCCAGAACAGAAATCAATCCAGTAAATACAATTGGCATTTGCTGTTGTTGCTTTCAGTCTGCAAATGATACATAATTGATTATATCCCCCCCCCCTTTGCAGTGTGTTTCCTTTGCATTGAAATGAATAGGATGGAATAACATAATGATGATGCAACTTACATAATTTACATAATTAACTACATGAGTTATTTCAGTTTTCCGTTACGCCACAGCAGACAATAAGACATAACATATATATTTTTTTAATAGCAGAAGTCAAACTGCACTGGAGCAGAAGCAATGCTGCCTGTATTGAATATGGACCAGAATGAATAATGATGCCTTCTTACATTTCTACCAGAGTAGACTTTCTGTGTTCTGTGATCCTGGCAATATTTGGCCTCCCCAACCCCTGGGCCAGAGATGAAACTGCTACATATCATGCCATGCATTAAAAAAGAAATGCTTTGTACCTAGATGATGATGCACTCTTTTGTGATTTGTTCCATTTTCCATTTCCAAATGCTCAGGTGTAACAGCTTCATAGAGTCAGTTAGTGTAGTGGATACGCTTGGATCAATGAGACCCATATTAGGGCTTTCCATCCAGCCCTTGGCTCCCTAATGTACCTCACATATTGTTGTAGGGATGAAATGCAGGCAGGGGGCGGGGCAACCCCCCATGAATTTTGTTGGAGGAAAGATAGCCTACAAGTGTATTAGAGTGGGTTGATGAAATTCATTTCAGGGGACTGTAGCTATTTTCAGGTGGGAAGTGTAGGATAAAACTTGCTTTGATGCAGTGGCATCAAATGAATCAGGATGAACGCTCATTAAATAGCTGACATTGTCTATTCTCCCTTCAAACAAATCAGGATGAATGCTCATTTAGCAGGTCATCTGGAAATGACCTTTGAATTCCATGACTGGGATTCTCCTTCTCTCTCTCTCTCTCTTTAACTGAAAGTAGTGGTGTGAGAGATCCAGATTGGGATTGTGACACAGGGGTTAGCCATTTAATTCTGCCGGCAATCCCTCCCTACTTAACCCCCACCCCCTGGGCAGAAAAAAAAGCACTCCTGTTAGCATCCTGGGTTGAAATATCAGCACAGAGTAAGAGTTGCACTTGGAAAATTAGTGCCAGAGAAAAGGGCTGAATCTAGTCACCCTGCATAATGAGCCTGATCTGGGTCTATCTCCCATGGCTGGGGCAGTATGCCAGCATACATCCAGTTCTTTCATGCCAGTTTTGTGGGGAAATCATGGGGGAACAGAAGTATGCATGTGCGGAAAGGATTGGGAGAATCCCCATTGTCCAATGACCGTCATTGCTGCGGCACACCATGCCCGCTGGTGTGAATGTAATTTAGCATGACATGGTAGTACATTGGTCGGAAAGCAACAGTTAACTAACACAACAGGTACTACAGTGTGAAAGGAACATTAGGACATGGGACAGAACTGCTAGCATTATAATCAGGAAAACAAATTCAGTATTTCCCATGTTTGAATATACCCCATGCCATTCCCCAACATGTGTACACCTTATATCATTACAGGCAAAGTCCATTGTGGCATCTAGGAATGCAAGCTTTGATTGTGTAAATTCCAGACAATTCTGTAAACAAGTAAACTACAAGTTACTTGGAAAGCTGTCTATTTGCACCTGAGGTTTTGAGTTGCTGGGTGTCCCATACTTTTTCTTCTATTTTAAAGTATCTAATCTAGACATCCATTGGCTCTTGAGAAGCAATATTCATTATAATTTGTCTCATCAGGCTAGGTAATTGCTTTCAACTAGGTAATCGCTTTCAACTTCTGTCAGCACTCTTGCTCTTAACAAAACCCACAAGTATCCTGCCTTCCCAATCCTTCCTGCTAAACTATTCACTGATTTCAACATGGCTTCTTTGATGTGGCTCCTTTGTATTTCATCCTGATACAGTTAACGTTCCGTATATATAATCCACGATTTTCCTTTCTCGGTGAGGAAAAATGGCACTCTGCCTTCTGTGCCTGTTAAGGGAGGTATACATTTTTAATTCAGCACATACTTATCAACTGGCTGCCTCTATCAACTGGGTGAGACTTCAGAAACAAATTCAGAGCCTCTCTTCTTACTATCAGAGTCCAATTCAGCAAGACATATCCCCCATTGTTGAGAAAATTTCTGTATTTAAATAATTTTTCACCAAAAGGTGAAAAGTTCTGAATCCTCTGAATCCCACAAGCATAGGCAGTGGCCAAGGAAGACAGGAGTTGTAGTTCAGCAACATCTAGAGGACCAAAGGTTCCTGAAACCTGGCCTAAATGAACCTACCCATGCATCTCAGAAGCACCAGTGCATCAGGAGCTGATCTGCTTATGAACCTGATCTGATGTGCAACATGCAGAGATGCAGTTAGGGTCTTCTCGGTGATTGCACCCAAGCTGTAGAACTTTTTACGCTGGGAGGCCCAGTTGACTTTCTCCCTAACAGGCAGCAAGTTAAAACACGAATGCGAGCATTTTATTAGTCAGGCTTTATACTGTCTGTTGACACATGACAACTGTTATTTAGAGCACATGCCACCAGCCAGGTCATCCATCAACAAGTATCCCTAGGTCATCCATCAACAAGTTCTAATTCCATACCTGGCACTCCATCCTTAGACATGCTTTACATGAATTTGTGATGGGGTTGTGGAAGGCAGGTGGTCTACTTTTGGCTCCAGGCTGCCATTCTTTACTTTCAATGAATATGTTTGGGTTTCCTCCAAAGTTAGTAATACTCAAAGTATATCTATTGAAGTTAATGGCCACAACAAGCTAAGGACCATTCATTTAAATGGGTCTACCTTGGACCTAACGGTCAGGGGTCCCTTTATCTTTACCTTTACCTTTACCCCGCATAAAAGTTAGTTGGGTACAGCTCTTTGACCTGGAGACCCGGAGCTGCCCTGTCAGGCAACCATCCTATGCACTGTTATATCTTCCTAATCATCAGATCCTGAAGACATTATGTGGGATTCTGGGACTTTCTCAACAATGCCATCAGCAGTGAATAACCTTTTCTAAGGGGAAGCTGCAGTCATGGTCCATGTTCTTCATCTGCAGTTAACAAGTTGATTAACTTGATTAACTGAAGCAAATAATTGTTTAGTGAGTCCTTATTTAGCATAGATCCGCACTGTAAAAGGACCAACTACCTTTTCAAAAATAAACAGCATCTCAGTTTTTTCTGTGGTGTTTAGGTTGCCAAAAGCTGTTGTGTATAACATAGCCCCCTTTCTCTTTGACATTGTCTGATAAATCACTGATAAATGGCACATTAGAGAGCATAAGAAACATCTACAGAATTGCCCAGCCAGTTCGAAACAGCCCCACTAGAAAGAGGATTCCAATGCAGACACCTCCTGATAATGACATTTCCATAGGTGCTTAAGTTCAAATTAACTGTTCTAAAAACCCAAATTAGAGTCAAAGATGATGCGAGCCAATTTACTCAGCACAACAATCATGGGCAATGAAAAGTGTTCTGCTAGATTGCTGCTTAAATCGTATCACCGTGGCTGCCTCGGTGGGAGAGCAGTACAGAATAATAATCGCTGCCGGCTAAATGTAATTTAATTATTAGGTTTTTGCATTGGTTAGCTCTTGCATTGTTTAAAAGGAGACTCCCCCCACCCCATCTTCTACCAGGTGTGCAACGCATGGCCACTGTTAGAAATCTTTGAGAAACTGTGGCAGGAGGAATAATAAGTGGCAGATCTAATTGTAGCGCTTAAATGAGATGTGGGCTAATAGTTGAACACTGAAGGTGGCCCAAGGATGGTGGTTCTGTTTCCACCCGAATGGATGATGTTGACATTTTGTCCTTCTACTGTTAGCTCTTTGAGACAGACAACAGGACCCAAAGCCAAGCTGGTGTGCCATTGCAGTTGGGCATGTATGCAATATATTTCGTGCACAAAGTGTTACTCTATCATAGATCTTTCGATTTCTCAAAAACCTTATGGGAGAGGACACTACAGTTCATATTTTTAGAGTGTGGATCCAAACTCATTGCTTCCCTAAACAACATACAATATTGGGTGGGATTTACAGTTGAATACAAATTCTCCTTCTGATTTGCTGGTGGCAGAATGATTGTGGAGGTATTGATCTCACTTATTCTTTTCCAGTCTATAGATGTACCCCACCCCCAATTAAGTAATAGTTTGGAAGCAGACCCTCTCAAAACAGAGTAAATTCTCATATAATTTCTCAGAATACTTTTTTTCCTGAGAAATTTCAGTCAGTTCTGGTTTCTCTGGTCTGCTCCAAGTGTACATGTGTGTGAGAGAGGGAGAGATGATGAGGAATGTTACACTTGCGTGTGTACACATAGGAAATGGTGGGCTAGAGGACTATCAGTGCTAGCTGTCAACAGAGAAACAACATGGAAGGGGGGGAATAGGTCAGAGCGACTTGCCTGCTCTTTACACTGCCATGGTTGATTGGTTATTCTCATCACCCTTTGTTTAAAATCATTTTGGAATTAATTGGCGTTCATTAGCATGAGCCTTTGTAGCAGAGTTGCAGAAACAGTCATTAATGTAGCTAATAAACATAAAAAAGAATGGGGAAAATATCCTATTACCAGGTCCCTACAGGCTGTTAACTAACATTTTGAATACGAATATATAAACATAAATTAAACATTTTTATGAAGTGCTAAGAGTGTGAGGATTTAGCAAAGCATCCTGCGGTAAAGTAATACCTTGAAATGCCTGATATAATATCTACACAGATACACACACCCTGCAACAAGGGTTACTAGGCAATGCCCATTAATATGGTACTTCAGATAAGATACATGGGTTTCTTCGGAAATTTTGGAACACCAGTGTGGTCCATCATCCCAAACAAGGGAGATGAGAAAGTGTAAGGAATGAGAGCTAATCACTGCCAGCAATGAGTTGATGACAATGATAGACTCAGCATAGCAACAACTTAGTATGCTTGCAAAACAACCCCAGTTGCTTATTTATTATTATTGAACTTTAGACTTTTATTGAATTTTCAACTAAAAATGTCTCTGAATGAGTTGCAGAAAAGAATGTTGTATTAAACCATTACTTTTTAATCAGTGCAAACCACGCAATTAAAAATCAATATTTTAAAAAATCTAAAGCCGGTGCCCCTAGCTCCCGGGATGTGATGGACTCCAAGTATTATCAGCCCCAGCCAGTTTGAAAGCTTCCTGGGGCATCCATTTGGCCACTGTTCACCTAGTGGCTCAGTTGGTAGAGCATGAGACTCTTAGTCTCAAGGTCATGGGTTTGAGCCTTGGGCAAAAGATGCCTGCCTTAAAGGGGGTTGGACTAGATGACCCTTATGGTCCTTTCTCTTTTGGCCTGATCCAACAGGGATCTCCTTAGGTGTGTAGCAAATGGTCAGGGATAATGGAACTAGTAGTCTAGTAAACTCTGTGGAAAGATACTGGTTAGAGAAGATGGAGTTAAAGTGACGTTTAAAACAACAGAATTAAGGGATCACGCTGCCTCTTATATATGCCTATTTGATTTCTTCAGTCTGTGGCACCTGCCACATACAAGGAATTGTTCCTGCAGTGCTATAGCTGTCAACAGAATTGTTCTTGCAGTGCTATAGCACATGGGCTTTGGAACTCTCTGCCTATTGACATTAGGCACTGACATTGACATTAGCCAGGCACCCTCACTATATTATTTTAAATACCTGCTGAAAACATTTTTGTTTTAGGAAGTCTGTCCTTGACACATGATTTAATTACTTACGTTTGTTTTAGTGATTTTTTTCTTTGTTATTATGTATATTTGTTCAGTTGGTTTATAGATTTCGCCTATGTTTTAGCTATCATTTTCTTCATACACCAGTGACTTTTTGAACAAGCAGCTTATAAGTTTTCAAATAAATAATGCTAAATAGTTTAAACCCACTTTGAGATTATCATTATGTTTTAAGATGGCTGTGTGAAGGCTAAATTACTCATCTGGTGAGCTTGAACCTGTCTGTCATGATGAGCGACTCTGGTTCTTTCATGTGTGTGCAGATCATCTGCAAATAACGTCAAGCCTATCAAAATGTATTATGCAAATTGACTTTGATTCACTGGCCCTGCAACCCACTCAAGGCACAGTCCTCTCCCAGTGCTGCACTGGGCACGTTTCCCACAGTCCTCTGAATGTTGGAAGAGCCAGGGCAGATAAAAGAAGCACTTCTTCACCCAGTGCAGAGTTAAACTATGGAACTCATTCCCATGGGAAGCAGGGATGATCACCAATTTGGATTAAAAGGATTTGAATTTTTTTTTTTTTTGGAGGACTATGGCTAGTCCTGGGTGCCAGGAGTTGGGAGTCGCAAGTGGGCAGAGAGCTGTTGCACTCATGTCTGACTTTCACTCTTCCCATGGGCATCTGGCTGGCCACTGTGCGAACAGAATGCTGGACTAGATGGGCCATGGACCTGATCTAGCAGGGCTTTTCTTAAGTTCTCTGGTTCAGAACTCCAAAACACATAAAACTCATGTGTGCAAACAGGAGGCCAGCTGTCCAATCATATACATGTCTTTCCCAGAATAAAGTCACTTTGATTTTAAAGAGCCTTACTCTCGGGAAAGTAGATATAGGATTGCAACCTGAACTGAGGGTAATATTAATATTTTTCCCCACACCACAGGACTGCAGATCTTGTTAGACTCCAATTCCCATCAGCCCCAGCCAGCATGGCTAGTAATCAGGGATTATGGGAGTTGAATGTCAATACATAACATAATCTCTGTACAATAAAAAAAAAAAATCAAAACAGTTATACATATACAGTTATAGTAAGAGGAAGTATACAAGGGTGTGTTTTGTAGAACAGGCATGGTACAACTTTTTAAATAATTGAGAAATAAGGGAAATATGAATACATGGTTGTAGCATCACTAGACATGGCACAATCACGGCTTCTGGTCCCGCCTTCCTTAATGGAGGCAGCCCCCACAACAGCAGGGGTTCGTCAGCAAACAAAAAACAAGGATGACAGAAGGTAAATCATCTTTTCAAATTCCCCCCCGGGGATGGGGAGAATGGGCTTCACTCGCAGTTCGTCTCGGTACCTGGCTCCCACTCCGGCATGGAATGTGGGAGGCAAAAGCCTGGAGAAAACCCTCCTATTCCACCATTAAGAAGCAAATGTTCTCCATCTTATTGGATCTTTAATTGGCTTTAAAGTACCAGCGTGTGATGGGAAAGGGTTGCAACAACATACTGCAGAATATACCAACTACATAGATCAAAAGTTTGACCTGAGATAAGATTGTCTTCGGTGTGAGAGTTGGTTGGGGAGAGGCAAGCCCAGGGTTTGTTTGTTCTAAGCTTCTTTTATATATTTATGATTCGGCAACCCTTTCCAGAATATAAGATAAAAATATATTTACAAGTGAGGAAGGGACATCGGAGTAATATTGATATTAACGAGCAAAAATGGAAACTTCATGTGATCTGAAATGAAAAAAGGAGGGGGAGGGGAAGCTCAAGTATGACTATGTTGGAAAGACAGAGTAATTCTCCTCACCTCCGTTTAAAAACAACAGACAAGGAAAAAGAGACTGAGATTTGTGTGTGCTACTGATGGAATATAATCTAAGATAAACTTTAATTGGGCCATAAATCTCTTGCTGGAATGAAAAGAATTTTGGGGCTATGATAAGAACCTGCAGAGATTCTGGGGAGTAGAAAGCAGTATTAAATCTTCTGTGCATTCAAAAACTGCCCACCTTTTCCTAGGCTGAGGGAAAGATGGTTAAGACCTGTAACATGTTCTACTAGTGAGACAGAATGGTTTCTAGCAGACTGTTACCTGTTCTGAGACATCAAAGCAAGGGATGGAAAGATAAGATCTCTGAGAAACTTAGAGATTCAGTTCCGCTCCAAGCCACGAAGGTAGAAAACAACAGCTTGGAAGTGAAAGAGACAACATCATATATGGACAGAAGGAATCTCCATGGATATAACAGTTATCACATGCAGGACAGAATAAAGATAATAGTTTGAGTTCCTCACTTGAAGCTTTATAAATTTATATATTGTAACATTATGAATGGAAATCATTAATTATGTAGCTGTTGACTAAGAGATTATTATAACTGAAATGTGGCTGACATTAATTAAGATTATGGAATGCAGTGGTATAAAAATGGAATTGCATCCAAACCACCATGCGGGGAGCCACTAACTAAAATGAATTAATTGGAAGTTGATTGGCATTTTGATAATTGTATAATTTTTGAAGTATACCCTTCCACTCTGAAAAATGAATAAGCAAAACAGCCCAAGCTCAGTTGGTAGAGCATGGACTTGATGACCCTCATAGTTCCATCCAACCCTACAAATTCTATGATTCTATGATCACCTTTATATCCTGCTCTTCTTCTTGAGAGTTCTGATGACATTCATGAAGCCCTCCATATTTTATCAGCACAACAACATTCTAGCCTGGGAGATAGTGATTGGTCCAGTGTTATCCAATGAGTAAGCAGGAATAATGGGAGTTGTAATCTAATGACATCTGGAGAGTATTATTACACTGACAACGCCTGCCCCACACTGTCCCAGAAATCAAGTAGCCATTACATATCTGAAAGGCTCAGTGCATAATATACCATGTCTATTTGTCACAAACCACTTATCCATTTTTACAGGCAAATCAACAGAATAAAAACATTAGAACTGAAACAGGAATCAAACCTGGGTGAAAGGGCTCCATTATTATTATTATTATTATTATTATTATTATTATTATTATTTAACTTGTACAATTAAAATCCAGTAAAAGAGGGAGGAGGAATAGTAAAATGCACTGTAACCTTGATTCTTACTTATGGAGTGGCAGAAATAAAGCATTTCAGGCATCCCTAAACAATGAAAAGTGGTCCAGTGCTGGGCTTTTTATCCCTTTTAATTTATTTCTGATGCTACGCGTGCAGTTCCTGACTATCTTTTGTGAGTCGTAATAAAATAGCCGTGGTGCAATTCTGCATGTATGTCAAGCAGTGCGTGACCTGATATGCAAATTTAATACCAAGGTGCCAAAACGGAATTCATAATGTTTCACATCTACTGAGCTGTTTAAAGCAGTTTTGAAATCAATGAATATGTAATATGAAGGTGATAAGACCTAAATAAAAACCCTATTTATCTACTATGAAAAAGTATTTATACACAGAATGTTTAGCACAGGCAGAAAAATGGACAGAGTTTCCAATTATGCGGTTTGCATAAACAAATGCTAAATCATGTGCTTGGAATAAATAGCTGCTCCGCGACTTCCTTTGCATTATATACATTCAGATGCTGGAAATTTTTACCAGTGTATCGCCTTGTTTATATGTATATAAACCAAACCACTCAAATGAAAGAGCCTTTGAAGGCAAAAGCCCTTTGAGGTCACTCATTTATTTTTAATTTGGAGTATATGGGGTGCTTCATTACAGGTTTGTGTTACAGGTTTCCAGGTTATTAAAGATCAGTGAAATAAGACACAGTTTTATGAAGTCTTGCAGTTCATGATAAAATGAGAGGCATAAATTCAACTGACAGCAACAAATAAGTAACAAGTGTTCCGATGCATTGCATCTGTTTACCATAACATTTTTAAAAGAAAACTTTTTTTTTATTTTAAGATGAACAAGAAGAGTACTTCGTTTTCTGATATCTTAGACTGACTCAATCAATTGGACATCTCTGGTGGTGTTCATACTGCTATTTCTCTCTTTATATTCCTGGAGCTGGAAGTTCTGTCCATCTGCAGCAGCAGCAGCAAAACTGCTGTCACGTCCTCTCAGGCTTTATGTCCTTCCTGCTTCTTCTCCAAGTTAGTCCAAATATGAGTTAGCATCTGATAGGATTAACTTCTGGCCTCCATCTTGACCACGTGAGAAAACTATACTTACAATGGCTTTGTTTCCCATGAGTAATCAACCTTAAGTTTTCTTTATCCTTTCAACTAGACATCTTATCAGACTATCTCTTTCTGTAGTATATTGACCAAACACCAACCGTTCATAATGGCTTGCTTAATTTCCTACAATGAGTTTGTTATGACAGATAGGAAATGGGATCTATGTATAGCTATGGTGCGTATTCTTTGACCTTCCAGCTGCTTCCAGCTGTTGCTGGGCTACAACTCTCAGCAACCACAAACACTGACCATTCTGACTGGGCTCCATGAAAGTTGTAGTTCAACAACACCTGGAGGGTCCCAATTTGGGAAGGCTGGTACACCTGCCTGGTTGCCTGTAGGACAAGAATGGGGAAACCTGGCACCTTACAGATGGCTACCAACCCTGGCTATTGGCTATGTTGTCTGGGCATACGAATTTGGAGGCAAACAAAATCTGGAGTGCCACAGTTTTCCTGAGGTATACTGTGGGCCATTCAGCTTATAGTCATTTCACTGAATTGACTCTACAAATGTCTTCTTTTAAATGTCACTTTTCATGCAACCTCCCAAACACCTCTCAAACCATAGTGGCAAAGTCCTGCAAACAGGTCAGTGCTACTCAAAGAGGATGGATGCCAGGCTCATTGTCATAAACGTGCCTGCTTCCATACACTGAACCAATATGAGGCTTGAGTGTATGTGATGTGTATGTCTCCACCCCCATCATTCAGCCCAGACACTGAGATCCAGCTCTGAGGGCCTTCTGGTGGTCCCCTCACTGGAAGAAGTGAGTTTACAGGGAACCAGGCAAAGAGCCTTCTTGGTAGTGCCTCTTGCCCTGTGGAACACCCTCCCACCAGATGTCAAGGAGATAAACAACTATCTGACTTTCAGAAGGCATCTGGAGGCAGCCTTGTATAGGGAAGTTTTTAATGTTTGATGACTTACTATGTTTTAATTTGTTGGAAGCCGCCCAGAGTGGTTGGGGTAACCCAGTCAGGTAGGTTATGTATATTAAACATATATACAAGACTGCCACCTTTGCTTGCTCCATTCCCTAGCCCTGCCCACCCCTTTGCCTGTCCCTCACACCTGACCAACACCCACCCTTTTACACCCCAAGTCCCTCCCCTCTCATAGAATCATAGAATCATAGAGTTGGAAGAGACCACAAGGGCCATCGAGTCCAATCCCCTGCCAAGCAGGAAACACCATCAGAGCACTCCTGACATATGGTTGTCAAGCCTCTGCTTAAAGACCTCCAAAGAAGGAGACTCCACCACACTCCTTGGCAGCAAATTCCACTGTCGAACAGCTCTTACTGTCAGGAAGTTCTTCCTAATGTTTAGGTGGAATCTTCTTTCTTGTAGTTTGGATCCATTGCTCCATGTCCGCTTCTCTGGAGCAGCAGAAAACAACCTTTCTCCCTCCTCTATGTGACATCCTTTTATATATTTGAACATGGCTATCATATCACCCCTTAACTTCCTCTTCTCCAGGCTAAACATGCCCAGCTCCCTTAGTCGTTCCTCATAAGGCATCGTTTCCAGGCCTTTGACCATTTTGGTTGCCCTCCTCTGGACACGTTCCAGTTTGTCAGTGTCCTTCTTGAACTGTGGTGCCCAGAACTGGACACAGTACTCCAGGTGAGGTCTGACCAGAGCAGAATACAGTGGCACTATTACTTCCCTTGATCTAGATGCTATACTCCTATTGATGCAGCCCAGAATTGCATTGGCTTTTTAGCTGCCGCGTCACACTGTTGGCTCATGTCAAGTTTGTGGTCAACCAAGACTCCTAGATCCTTTTCACATGTACTGCTCTCAAGCCAGGTGTCACCCATCTTGCATTTGTGCCTCTCATTTTTTGCCCAAGTGCAATACTTTACATTTCTCCCTGTTAAAATTCATCTTGTTTGTTTTGGCCCAGTTCTCTAATCTGTCAAGGTCGTTTTGAAGTGTGATCCTGTCCTCTGGCTCATTCCAAGCCCCACTCCCTTTTAAGAGGAGTTTTAAGCAATTGAATGAAGCTGTTTCTGAACTGTTTTTCTGTTTTAAAAATACTCACTGCTCTCTTGCTAGACATCATTATTGTCATTACAAATCCTTGATTTGAAAACTGTCCCTTTTAAAATAATTACTTGATTAGTTGAACAGCAATTAATAATGATACAAGAGAGCAAGGGAGCTATTCTCAGTTACAACGTCCAGCAGACTGAAATTGTTCGGAAGCATCAGCAATGCCTGGCATACAGCAGACTGAGATCCATCACAACAGAAGCCTGGATCTCTGTCCTGAGAGTAGAAATAATTACATCCTGATTGACCTTTGCACTTGCTGTGAAAGTTAAGAAACACTTAAAAGGGAGGGGGGGAACCACAGGCATTTGCAGACAAATTCCAGTTGAGCCAAAGGGCAGCATTGAGTCAGTTCTGGCACATTGTGAACACTGGGGTTGGGCAATGAGCTGTTGACCCTGCTGTCTTGAACCCTGTTGAGGTTTCAAAGCTTGGATGGAATGACATCCCAGCAACCTCCCTTCCCAGAGATTTGGGATAATGGTTATCAGAGAGCTGATAACCGCCAACAGCATTCTTTATTGTGAGTAGCTACTACTATTGTGTTTCTGCCCCTGTTACTTCAACATCTGCTGGATGTATTCTACCAGGTATTCTTTCTGGCAACTATACTGGAAGAAGCTAGATGGAAATAGCAGCTATGTTTGCAATAGAATAACTTGAATATTTTGCCATTCTTGTGTAAACAGACCTGAGGCTGGCAAATTAGCATTTAATATTCTCGGCAAAAGGGGTGCAGCTTCTCAGTGGAGCTGCTCTCTTTCTCATTCATTCCTCCTTTTGAAGTCTGTCCAAAGCAACTTAAAGGAGCGTTGACTGGTGTATTGAAGGTATAACTATTGTTGGGGTCTACAGCAGCGGTTCCCAAACTTTTTGTCCCCCCCCCCATGGACCACTTGAAAATTGCTTGTGGTCTTCAGGAACTATTTAACAGATTTTCCACCTGATGTAGCAATTGTAATGAGCTGTGCTAGACGCTGTGTGATTTTAAATTGTATTATTATGGCTTCTTTTATTTCTTATATGGTATTTTACTGTATTACAATTTGCTTCCCATAGAATTCAAATGGTAATACAATAAAATACAATATCGGAAATAGAAAGCAATAAAGATGCAGTTAAAAATCAATATGAATATTTAATGTGGACATGCTGTGGCCCATCTGAACAAAGTTTGTGGACCACTGGTGGCCCACAGACTACAGTTTGGGAAACCCCCAATTTAAGGTAAAAAAAGGTTGTAGGACCAGTGGAGCTCCAAGTTTTGGAGTGCCTTCTGGTGAGCTTCCTTTATGGGCCTTCCTCTCTCAGTGAGTCAGTAGCATCTACTGCTGCTGCTCCACCTCCTCACAACTTCTGTTTTCTGGACTAGTGTGAGAGGCAGATGAAAAAGTGGGTTGCAATGCTGGAGAGCAAGGGCAGGTCCAAAGGGGCTCCTGTCCAGTGCCCGTCTCC